ATGCGATCAATGTTACGCACAGGGAGGTGAAGCTGGAAAGCTGGAGAAGTAAGAAAAAAAGAGGATGTTTGAACAGTAAATACCAGGAAGATTTACTTGTTTCGCAGGCGATGTGAGATCCGCTCATTTGACTGACACACATCCCCCACGTATCAGGCGAGCCCCCAAGCGCCTCCTGCGTCCAGATTCGCGGAAGGTTTGGGAACGACAGAACCCCGCCAAGCACGTCGCCAACAAGTCGAGAAAGGCATCAGTACCCGCGTCTAATCATGCCACTTGATGGATACTGTGTCCGGCCTACATGACATGCCTTCCGGGTAGCGTTTGGCCCCTTCGACCCTATGTGGGTCTTGCAGACGAGTACGCCGAGCTCATACTGGCTGCGTCGTGGAAGAACACAGCCGCAACCCAAGAAACACGAACAGAACACTGTCAGTCGAGATACGGAAATGCACGTTCTGTGACGGCATGTGGTGGCGCGGTGTAGCAGAGGGCAGCTTCCTGGCGCAGATCCGCCGCAGGTACGTTAGAAGCTAAGGTTTACGCTAGGACGAATGGAGCAGTTTAGATGAACTGCCGAGGGGTCATCCCGCCTCCCTAGCATTCTAACAGTACAATGTCGCTACACACCAAAGCTTCTTCGAGAATAACATTGTCAGACCAGCTTGATGCATTCTGTTAACGCGTTTTCCATGTGTATTGTTGATATGTTATTTAGCGCACCAAGAGAACTTCGCCACTTTGTTTCTTCAGCATTTTTGCCGGTACCTGCCGTACCAGGCACTTCCTGTCTCTTCTCAGTTTCAGCGATCCTTGGCCTAGCATACATGGCAGATTATAAGGCACGCAAACGCCCATCCCTCGGCAGAGATTCTGTGCCGTCCTGTCGCAAGTGTTTGAAACAGTCTTACTAGACGTATTTATAGGTATCGTGTCACGCAATAATTTGGAAATGTAGAGAAATCTGCTCATGCGTTCGCGAATCCTGTTGTCGTTCTATGGAAGCCCATAAAAATGTTTGACAGCGTAGTACCAGAAATAGTCCAAGGCCAAATGGAGACATCGGGGCGAATATTAACATTACATCCTGCTATTACCATATTTGAGATGTAGTCTTGGGGTACGGACAACTGCCGAATGTAGACATTGTCGCGAGTGTTGGTAAAGTAAGAAGGATGGCCTCATGAGACAAGTAGTGACTTGGCTCATGACATCTCACTTACAGAGCAAGAGAAGTCCAGGCAGCACTATGCGGCACGAGGCATCATTTCTCTGCTTTGCGCTTGAGGCATTGACGACATGTTCTCGCCAAAGTACATCTCACGTACACATGTAAGAAAGTCTAGGCATCACTATGCGACTAGAAGGCACGAAAATTTTCTGTCCAAGGCAGAAAGTCTTCATCTTGTTCAAATATAGCGCAATGGAGAGCTTAAAGGGATATTAGATATCTGTCAATCATTCAATGTGCCAACAATATGATCAAACCAACCAAATCTCATCGTCATATCATCGAATATGTTCGCCCTCACGGAAATCAAGCACCGGAATACAGGGGGTACTCGCCCATGTGTAAAGGGAAGGATAACCCAGCAACACAAGGGACAAACAGCGATCTGTCACTGATTACCACTATCGACCCTTTCACAAGCATGTCCATGCAACGGGTATGTATGACGAGCGATCTCGAAGCCGGAGTCGTCGCTATGATCTTCGGGGGTTTCCATGGTTTGAGCATATAACAAATCGTGCTTCTGTATTAGGAAGTCGACCGAGCCACCCAATACCACCACTCCCAGATGACAGGAAACGACAGTGGCGATGCTCCAACTCGGCGACGACATACCTTATCACTTCTTGTGTATTGACAAAGCCGTCTTACTGTTCTGTACGTATAGTCGCACAATTACACACATATCGACGGACTCTTTTTCTTAACAATTAACTTACACTTATGCAATAATTAAATTCCATATCTAGGAGACTATCCAGGTCCTGATTAAGAGAAGAAAATTTTATACCATTCATCCACAAAGAAAAAATAGTAACCACCCAAACCAGCGCCGCGAGCGCGTCATGCCTGATGACCCGCTCCAAACATCATATCATCGTTATACACGCAACATGCAAAACACACCCCGAGCAGCTTCTTCCAGCGCTCTAGACACCTTGATGCATGTCTACTTGCTTCAGCATCGGCGCATTCTTTGACTTGATCGCAGCTAGGACACCAAAGACAAATGTCACAGCCCACGCCAACCAATTCGCAGCGCTGATCACCGTGCTCGCGCGGGCAACATCGCAGACCTATTTTCTTGTCAGTATTGATTCTCCTGACCATCCTGCGATCAATCTCCCGCCTTTGAACTCAAAGCTCTGGATTCAAAATGCAAAGAGGCGGAAATGGGGGGTAATACGTACCATACCAAAGCAAATCCTCCCACTCAAAAACACACCCAGTGCCACGAATCCACTAAACCAAAACAACATGGTCAAGCCCTCCAGCCCCAGCACCGCCCACTTGACACTCGGCTGCTCAGCAAGGTGTTTGTATTTGTTCGTTGACGTTGCGATGATGGGGATAAGCGCTAGGATACTCCATGCGGGCGCAAAGATGAGGTAGTTGATCTCCATGGGTGAGGATTGGCGCCAGTGCGACGCCCACCATGATGATACTGTTCTTTTTGTCAGAAGTGGAAAAGGATAGGGGGATCAGGGGGAATCAAGGGGAATCAAGGGGAAGCATACCATAAGCCATCAATCCCAGCACCGCAACAGAAAGCACAGTCTGTACAGCGCGGACGCCGTGAATCCAGTTCATAGTCTTCATCTTTTAACCGGTCGTGATTCTCGTACGTTGTTGTCCGGTGGGTATACTCGGATTCGGGTTATTCTGTTAGTTCCTTTTTTTCGGTCTCCGGTGATCGACTTCAAACAGGTACGGTTGTATGTATATATACAAGTGTCGCGCGCGTGTTATGTATATATGAACAGACAATCTGCACACGAACGGATGGTAATATCTCGGCGTAAAAAATGGCGCGTGCGTGTATGGGCGTTGATGAGTATATGCGTTGTAGTCAATGTCATGGATAGATGAAGTTGGGTCGTTCCTGTCCGATGCTAATCCTGATCCAAGCCACACACACGACTCAATCAAATCAATGAATCAACCGTCGAGCGAGCGAGCGAAGGTAGGTTTCCAGTTCGAGATGCCCGTTTCAAACAGCCCGCCACAAAAGTAACAAAAGAGTGTCGAGAAAAAATAGTTAGTATGTACGAGAGGGAGGTAGGAGCCACAAACGCACTAGGCGCAATAAATATACGTAGTAAAACGAAAGGAACTGACAGCTAGAGAAGGAAAGGAGAAGACGAGAAGAGACTTCAAACAAAACCATAGAAGGCAGATACAAGCAGTTCATTCTAATTGCGTCTGCTCGCCCAGCACATCCACGTCCTGGTCCTGCGACTTCGCTTGCCTCACAAATCTTCACACACGCAAAGCAACAATGCTGCACCCACCCCCCGGGTGCGCAGACTGCCACTGTGCGCTCGTTATGCGACACCACAAGTGTTGCTTCTTACTGGCTGGCGCTGCCGAATGTACGTCGGAAGCTGTGTTTCAGATGCGGAGGGAGGATGCTGAACCTGCTACCTTTATGCGACAACCTTCGAATGTGACATGAACGCTAAGCCACTTCTAGGAAAACGCGCCTTGTCGCAGGAAGGAAAGGGAACGTGTGTTGCGCTTGGTATTTAATGGTGAATTGACGCAGAATTCCATATTTTTCATTTCCGCACGCGTGGAGTGGATGGTTCGCCGTGTCACATACTGGCAAGTCGGTTCGGTTGGCGCTTTAATGCCCCTTCCCTTCCTGTCAACTTGTCTTGTCATCAAACAACTGGAGTTCACGAAATGGAAATCACGAGCAGTTGGAGCCGTATCTGTTTTCACCGCCGTTATATTACGCCATAAGTGAACCGTCTCCATTATTATCGTACACATGCGCACTTTTTCCCCACATCCGCCCATTATGCATCGCCCAACTGGATTGTTTGAAGATATCATAGCAGCACGCACCATGTAATTCCAATGTCCAGCGTTCTCTTCGTAAGACGTCTTCTGACAGCCAAGTGAGCGTTCCAGCACCACAAAACTGCTGCCAAACGCCAATGAGTAGTCGCTGAACGTAAAGGGACTGGGTATCGGGAAGGTATCTATGTGTACATCGGAAAAGGAAATACCCAGCAATCATGAAAGAAGAAAGAAAAGTGAAATCAATGCCATAAAGGTGCCATGAGACGTACACTGTAACCAGCGTTGATAGTGAACTGTATCAAGGCATTTCAGCACAAGATAAGTCATTGTTGATGTAGTGACGTGATAGCCGCGGCCTTGAAGCCTCAGCGGCGAGGACTGAAAGGCACAGATGCACGGGTCATCTGATTGCACTTGCCCACTAGCTGAGAGATGACACGGAGGTATTGGCTACCAGGAGTCCTCTCGTTGAGCTCGATGTACGCAGCAGTCAAACGCTGGATGACAACATCCATAATCTTGGGAATTATGTCTCGGATCTCGGCGTCCTGTAATGGCATGTCAGCAATGTCTAGATGGACTGGTGTAGGCAAACTTACGTTGGGATTGACACTGTTGAGTACAGCATCGAGCCAAAGGAGGCGCTCTGGCAAGTTGCGCTCCAAAGACTCGGACACCACTGCACCAGTCGAGAGGGCGAGTAGCGGGCTCACTTGGCTGAGGTAACTAGGGTCACAACGGACAAAGACGGCATCGAAAAGCTCGGAGCTGCGGGACGATTGCAGCCACTGCATAGTACCTTGCTCGAAGTTGCCCCCTGTCATCAGGTTGGTAATGGCGTCACTCTCAAGCTCCTCTGGAGTCTTCTGCTTGGGAGGAGAATGCGAAGAGGCTGCAGGTGTCTCTGTTCCACGATCAGTACCCTGGGTTGGACGCTCCTCGATAGCCTGGTGTAGCTTTGCAATCTGAGACTGGAGCTCGGCTTGAGTCGCGACCATGGTCTGAATCGTCTGTAGACAAGTGTGTACAGTCTCAGTCAGCGACGAGATTTTGGCGGCGTCTTCACGGCGTTGAGCATGGGCCTGTCGAACTTCGGCTCCAATCTGACGCTCGATAAGGTTGGCTAGGTTTGAAACAGCAGGGTTGACGACTGTTGCAACCGAGGCGACCATCATAGGCTCGAAAGTGGCACTAATTTTCTTCGCAACCTGATCAGAGAGTGACTGGAACATCTGGGGATGTTTCAGAGCTCGAGAAACTGCGTCTGGAACCTCCTTAGACAGCTGGGTACCCAGTACAGACTTGAGGTTGCTGCTCAGGCCTTGTTCAATCGTAGCAGAGGTCTTTGCCAGTACTTCGGGAAGCAGGACGTTGCGGATGTTATCATCAACCATCTTCCTGATGACACCTTCGACATTCTCGTTGAGCGTGCTGGATACCATGCGCAGAATAGCCTCTTGCTTGGCCCCGTTCGCAGCGTTCAAAACACGCTTGTCTTCATCGAACCGCTTGTACATGACGTCCAACTCCCGAGAGAAGCCTTTGGTGATTTCAGTCTGTACTATGTTTTCAAGCTTCTTGGCATCGAACTCTGCAGCAGGAGCAGAGCCTGCAGTTGCTGCAGGTTGCTGCGCAAAGTGCTTTCTGAAGAACTGCTTGGCCCATTCCGGCGGTTCAGTAGTATCGGCAGTCTTGGACTTGGATGACTCTGACTCAATAGGAGCCTCAACTGGTGCTGGAGATTTTGACTGCGGGGCTGCCTGTGCAGCTTGCGCGTATGACGGAAGCAGAGATGGAGGCGGACGGCTAGACGTGGACGTGGAGGCCGTGACAGATGCTGGTACAGACACCTGGGACGCTGTTTCTGTGGCGGCGGCGGTCGCGCGCTTCTTCTTCTTCTTTTCGGACTTCTCGCCACCTCCATTGATGATAGCTGCGCGAGCGGCGTCCTGTTTGCTCTCAACCTTCGCAAGCGTAGATGCACGCATAGCTGCCTCAGGGTTCATGGACTGCCTTGAGACGTTACTGCTCTCCCTCTTCAGCGTATCGCGAGCTGATCGATCAGAGACCGATTTGGGCGCAGGCGTATCACCGGCGGTAGAAGACTCATCTGTGACAGGCTGGGGTGGCTTGAGCTGAGAGATGGTAATAACACCCTCCTCTTCCGCTTCTTTGGGGTGGATAGGCTCGCCCTCCTTCTTCCAACCGAGGTCGCTTCGTCGAATGCGCAAGATGCACACACCCTTGGAATGCATTACATACAATTCGAAGAGAGTTGCATTGTCGGGGTCGTCATCAGAAGGCCCAGCAGGCTCGTTGAGCATGTGTAGACTCCTAATTTGACCCTTTGATGCAAAAGAGTACTCTGTGATGCTCGTCATGATAGCCGTGGCGTTGACTGGAGGTAGAGCGCCATGAGACCTATCGTTCTTATTTGCCAGACGTGCGATGTAGGCAGCTTGACTCAAAACGGGAAGGTTGTACCTCGGGCAGGAGACATGAACGAAGAAGATCGAGTTCCTCGTAGGGTGGGCAACAGCCATGATACCAGTCCGAGGGTGGAATGACACACTGCAGATAGCGTCCGACTCGTTCTCATGCGGTAGATGGATCTCCTGTACGGCCTTGTTGAGGCCGAGATCCCACAGCTGGAAGGCATGATTCTGCTTCATACCGACCATGACATATCGCAGCGCAATACCCTTAGTGTATGGCTTGTCTTTGTCAAAGAAGAAGACTGAAGTGGGCCATGACTTTGCATTGGGCATGGTCGTGTGGAATTCGAGGAGTGTCTCAGAGACCTCAACCTGGCGGGGCGGGCTGCGAGGGTTGCCCAGGTCAGGGTCCGTCAGGGTGCGAATATCCCAGAAGCGCATGCGTCCGGCCTTGTCCAGTGACACAATGATGGTGTCATCCTCGCTAAAGGTGAAGTCCTTTCCAGCCTTGCCAGTGAGGATCTTGAGGGAACGTTCCTTGAGGTACTTCTCCGTGTGGCAGATGCGACTCTTAGAGCGCGCGTACTCGGCGGCAACCTTGGGGAAGACGATATGGATAGACTTGCCTCTGCCAACAGCGAAGAACTCAGGGTGGCGGGATGAGGGCTTAGCACGTGTCTTGAGCTGACCTCCAGATGTGTTATCATCTTGGGAGGGCGAGGGAGGGAGCATCAAGCCCTGAGAGTCGAGGTTCTCGCCAAACTGATCCTCACGAGCAGGATCGAGTGAAGTCCAGAAGACGGTACCGTTGACTCCGATACCAAGGATACTCTCGATTGGTTGCTGTGCATCCTCGGCCGATGTGCAGAGAGCGATGTTGAAGATACGCTCTTGGTGGTTTTCAAAGACTTGGCGGTACTGGCCATCGAGCTGACGGATGATGCGGAAGCCGCCCTTCTTGACAAGAGCATATACTATGAAGTTCTTGCTAGCCGAAACGAGCGACCTGTCAATCTGATCAAACTCCTTCTTGAGGCGAGCGATGTCCATGATCAGTTCATCGGCGAAGTACAGACGGCGAGGCGGCATTTGGTTGACCTGGATGGAAGCAAAGGCGCGCATGGGGAACCTGTAGACTATTACCGTCTGGTCCTCACCCTTTGCGAGGCTCTCCTCAGCTTCGGCGGTTTCCCAGTTCTCGGCGACGTTGTCTTTGGCGATCTCAGTGGCGACCTCCTTCAAGGCAGTTGCAAGAGGCTTGGGGAGAGTATCCTCAATCTCCTTGGCCGTGGCGGGATCGGCAAACTCCTCCTTGATCTCGGTGGCAATCTCGGCCACGGCTTCCTGGACCTCTTGGATATCTTCTGCGGGTAGGTTTTCAGGCTCATCAGCCGGCGGCGCCGTTGATTTGCTCTCAGCTTCAGCAAGCGCGTCTTCGATCTGTTGTCCAACCTGCTCGCCCAGGTCCGTCACAGCCTCAGCGACAGTTTCGTGAGCTTGGGCAGGCACATCCTCGTGGGGGACGGGAGAAGATGTCTCAAATGCGTTCTTCTTGAGAATCTCAACCTTCGGAGCGGGGGGCTTGGAGCCCTGCTGAATGGGAGTGCGGTTGCGGGGGCTGGCAGCCTCGAGCTGGTCGAAGGGGTTGACGTAGGTAAACTTGGGGGCGAGAGACGAAGTGTCCCTGCCGTCCGAGCCAAATACCCTCATGGGCGAGGAAGAGGCTCCTGGTGTGGTGGCAGCGGGGTCAGAAGGCACCTGCTCGGCTTCAGCGTCGGCGAGATCCTGCGCGAGGTCGTCCACAACCGTTTCAGGCTTGTGGGAGGCGACGGGCGGGGAAAATGCCGCAGAGGCACGAGAAGACGAACGGCCGCTGGACTGGGCGGGCTTGGGGTGGTTGAGCAGGCGCAGAAGCAGATCCTGGGGGTTCTGCTGCTGATGTGCAGGCGCGGGCACGGCCATGGGTAGAGCGTGGGCAGGAGCGCTCTGGGCAGGCGTTCCCCTACCCATGACGCTTGCCATCAGATCTTGGGTTGAGCCGTTGCGTCCAAGGGGCGGGGCAGCTTCGGAGACGTGTGACTGCTGTGATACGCGCCTAGACTGTGCAGCACCAGACTGCGAGTTGAAGCGCAACAAGTTGAGCAGGTTGGTCGACTGCTGTTGTGGCGTCTGCTGCGACACAGGGCCTTGTTCGGGCACGGGTGTGTTCGCCATGGACATGTTGGGTGACATGACAGCAGACTGGTGATGAGGACGCGGGCCGCTCGGTGAGGGCGAAAAGAGAGGAGAAGAGACAGAAGGCTGTTGATAGCCGTGCTGTTGTTGCTGGTGGTTGCCGCTGGATGCACCACCGTTGAGGCGGGCAAACAGCTCTTGCAGGTCCGCCATAGTGGAGATGACTAGGGCAGATCTGGGCGCTTGTTAGCAGACGTGGCTCCGGGCTTACGCGCAAACGCAAATCCAGCTATGCTGGATGGCAAGGTGACGACATGGGCTGCATACTTTACTCAGAACCCAAATTTGGCGTGTGTGGCCGAAGCCCAATCGCTGAAAATACGCAAATATGTACTGATGTAGCAGTATGAACTGGCGAAGAGAAATGCTGGCTAGCAGCAAGCAAATGGGGCGACAGGCTGCGATGGTGCGCAGTTGTCAATTGACGGTGCAAGAGAGAGAGAGAGTTGACAGCTTTGGATAAGGTGATGACCCGACTTGGCTGGCGCCGGGAACGGAGCTAGCCTAGCGCGATTGGACGTGGAGAGGCGGGCGGCTTTGGTTGGAACCTGCAGCACCATGAGCCGGCCCAGAAAACCAGCATCGCGGGTAGCCCATCAAGTGCCTTTAGCTTCATGTGACATGTACCTGGTCGCGAGCTATTAGAACCACTTGTACGTGCTAGGGACAGTGTACCAAAATGTTACTAGCTATTACATGCTTCATAGAGACAGCGAAGCCATCGAACCCGGCTCATGCTAGGGTCCATCTTCTACAATATATTTTGACCAAAAAACCAACACAGTATGTGCCAGCTCACATTCTTGTTGCAAGTGGATAATGCCCAGATGTCGTCACCAGCCAGTGTAGCCTAGCTAGCCAACCCACAAGTACCACGTCAGTGGCAGTGACTCCTACCATCGTGAGCACAAGCCTGAGGCGAAGATTGACACATCACTCGTACATGCTATACTAGCTATACCATACTTTCGGACCCCATAATTACAACGATAGCATCATCCAAGTCCTTCTCTCACTGAGTCCATGCGTCCGCAAGCCGCCAGTGCCGCCAGAGCGCGGACCAAGCAGCGAAGTGCCAATGTTCAGGAATCCCAAAGCAACATGAAACACATATATACAAACATCAATAGAAAAAGAAAAACATGTTGCTTCATCCTCTTTGCTGGTTTCAGTGTCCGTGACAGTAAGACCCGCACTTGACAGTCAACGCAAGTGTATTTCTCAGAGTCACCGCTTGACCCGCCAAGGGACGAATGATTCCGGGACCGGAGACGGCTGAGACGTAGACGTAGAAGCAGACCAGGGCAGGTAACTGTGGATCTTTCTCTAAGACAAAGATTCACCACACTTTCCGAATGCGCTTTGGCAAGCACCTCCGCAGTGGTCAGCCGTGTTACCACAGAAACCATACTGAGAGCAGCATTCGCCTTTGGGAAACCCTAAATTATCTCTATTAGCCTAGCTTCTCCCGGTGATGTCTGGTGAAGACCTCTTACCGAAACACCCAAGTCCATTGTCACGACCACAAGAGCCATCAATAGTCATACCAGTGGGCATAGCCATAGCCACGTTGGGCATAGAATTGCCATCACTAGGTGCTGTGGGAGTGGGGTCCGACCTCGGAGCGACAAATATAGACGAGGTAGCAACTCTCGGGGTAGCAGACCGGTACCAGTTTTCTTTCGGTTCGCCCAAGCACTCGCCCAAAGTGACCAACTTGTAGCCCTTCCTTGTCATCGTTTCGAGCATATAGCCAGTCAGGTTTTGCGCAGTTTGCTCGTGAATGTCGTGTGAGATGGTTTGGAAGCTGTCTTGCTCTGGATTGCTAGGGTCTATCGCTCCGCTGACACGGTCTTTGGCGTTTTGGATCTTATCCGGCGTTATGTTGTTGTAGTCTGTAAGATGTCAGCAAGTGTGAAGTTGGTATGGTATCAGATGTGATGCTAACCGTCAGTATCTAGGTCGAAGTAAGATACAACATATCCAAGGTCTGCCAGATCTTGTGGGCATCCTGATTCAGGCGTGCATGAGCTGTACGGCGGCCTCATGTAAGCGGGAAATTTTCCTAGAATGTTGCCAATCGCCATCTGTAGAGTAGAAATTTTAGTGCGTGTGATTTGATGTTAGTCCCGGCATTTCTTACCTCGTTCCTGATCATTTGGTCGTAACGCTGCTCCCGAGTAATGACGCTAAGGTCTTGATGGGACCATGTATGACTTGCGACCTGATGTCCTTCTGCATCCATACGCCTGATTATGGACGGCCATGCTTTGCTTTCGTCATCGATAGCACCCTTGTTGATGTTGATGCCGGTGACGAAGAACGTGGCTTTTGCGCCATATGCAGCGAATTGATCCAGCACGTCGTTTGTGTAGATGAATGGGCCGTCATCATAGGTTATAGCGATTTTTTTCGGGACAGTGCAAGCATAGATTCCCTCTCCACCGTACATTTGGTTGCCGAGCTGAGGTCGAGTGACTTCGGCAGTGCTACCCCCAGAAGGGATTTGATTGGCATCACATCCTGGGCCAAAGTTGAAGAGACAGTCAGGTGCCATGCAAAAGTCCGCTATAGGTAAAACCAAATTGTCAGTGGAGATTTCAGGGTAGTTATTTTAGGAATGCTTACGTCCTTTCCCACACCATCCATCAGGAGAGCAGCAGTAACCCCCATTACAGCTTACATTTCCATGGTCAGGTCCGCAACGACCTGCGGCACCGCCTTGACGTGCTTGCAACACATTCTTAGGCGGCACGACATGGGCAGCACGTGCGTCCATGACTAGTCTGTTCCTTAGTCCCATGATTCTCGGAGTATGATAGTTGCCATGTCCATGGGCAACAACAAGGGGTACTGCCAGGGCCGCAGCGTGTAACGCAGTGAAGCGCATTGTGTGGGATATAATCAACAAGGAATATATACAAAATCGAAGAAATATAGTATTGAGTAGTGTGAAAGTGTAGGAGGATGAGTATACACAAAATCAGGTACTGTGAAGTGAGTGATTGTTCAAACGAATGATAGGTTGCAAAGACGCGCAAAAGAGTACCAGGGGACAATGGGAACAGTACCTGATATTATATCTAACAGATGGTCCGGCATCACGCTTAGGTCGACTGGTGCTCCTGAGAATCAAAAGGAATGTCCTTGATGCTGAAAATGCACGTTACGTGCGTGCCCATCGAAGATCATCCGCGGCGTCAGTAGAGACATCCGGGGTCCAGCACGTACGAGAGCATGATACTGAAATTTCTTTTGTATGCTTCTTAATGTACATAATCGATCCTGATAGGATGTGATGCGATGTGCGACGTAGAAAGGCAGCACCATTGCATCTTCAAGTTTTCTGGAAAAAGGGGATATACTGAACGATACTCCACTTTGAAACCATATCATGATGATGGATATCGTGAAGTTTGTAAGCTACGGTTGCAAAGAAGCACTTTGTTGAGACGGTTGAAGTCCTGTAGCTGTTTCGAGCCAATAATGCGCCCCTGAATCGCTAGGTACCGGATAAAAGGGTAGATCAATTTAGTGCCCGTGGTTCGCATGGTAGATCCAATGTCTTCATCTGGAGTTGTCGGGTCAATAACATCCAACACCATGCTGTGATTGTAGGCCGACATCCGTATTGTATGCTCATTAATTGGTATGCAGAAGATAGTAGTTGGGCTCAAAAGTTCAAAACGACGCTCTTTTTGGTTCTGCTACCCTTCCATTGGAACCATTACCGTATTCAAGCCTATCGCAATATTGGTGATCAACAACGCTCATGAATCGTTTTATGGATCGAATTAGCGCATCGCAACAGTATGCTGCAGATATTAGACTCCTATGTGGCTGTCGCGATACGGGGATAGTCCCAAATTGACGAGATATCTTGAGCATGTGAAAGGGCTTGCACCAAGAGCAGTGGCAATGGCACTTCGCTTTACTGATTGTTGCCCGTTACATGTGATGTCATCTCATGTCACGCGACAATGGGGAGTGGAATCGAGAAAAAGCAGAGGCATTGCAGCCTTATGGAAAAAGCGTTACCTTCTCATGCCCCGTGCGTTGTTTTGACGATCGTTCTCTATAAAGCTCAACGTTGAGGCTGTAGGAGCCGCATCCGTACATCAACGGGTCTGCTCTGCCGCCTGCATCGACAACCCACGAAGCCAAATCAGATATGCAAAAATATACAAACAAAAGGGTTTGTGTGGTTTTTCTAGTTCGAAATAGAACTCAATTAAGGCACTAGCCATGTCTTGATATTGGGGAAGCGGGTTGTGAGATCTACCTGCCACAGTCGGATGAACCCCGCTCCTGCTTATCACGCACAATACCACGATGATCCTTGCCTACAGGTTTAAAAAAAAGTGCCATCCCAACTACTATAAAAAACGAGACAAATCAAAGGGTAAGTAAGTCTCTATAAATGTTTAGGCTAGTTGCAAAGAAGTGATAGTAAGAGCAAAAAAGATGGACTCGCGGGGAATCGAACTAGTTGAATGTTAGTACGAATGAAACCTTGTAACAAGGTGCGATGTCAACTCACCCCCGGACCACTCCCATGCTAAGGGAGTATTATACCACTAAACCACGAGCCCGATGATTACTTGTTGCTACAAGCTGATTGATAGAGTAACGGACAAGTACGCACATTATATTGACAAAATTTGGATATCTTCGGCGGAAGTTGGGCACGCAGCGGGTCAGAGACACCGATGCATCTAGTGTAGACAACGGTACGCTTCCAGACCACGGAACCAGACTAATTTCACGTGGACTGCTACGAGGTAATGTGAGACACCGGCTGATCCACGATGGAGCCTATATGGTCTCTTTACCCATCCATTGTCAACTGCACATGCAATAGCAACCTTGCAGCGCTGCCTCTATACTTACTACTGCGTCTCGGGCAGCGCGACTAGCCACGGCATAGTAATCAACCAAATACTCAAGGATAGACGCTTTCCCGAGCCAAGCAACGCTGACAGCGAGCCAGTAGTTATCCCTGTTCTAGACCACAGCGTAACTTCACGCCAATGCAGTCAACGTGTCATCACAAACGACAGTTCCACGCTGCTTTGGGCCCCTTTCCTTATCCAAGCGGGGCGGCGTACGAATATTGTTCATAAACCGGACCGCGTAAGCACATGTGCGATCAAGGGTTCGGCTATACGATCTCATGTTTCCATGTCAGGTTAGCTGCATCTGAGATCTGCGTGTAGCCTGTCAACCGATGCTGCTCTCTCCAATGACGTAAAAGCCTGCGGCAAAGTACTCCTAATCACATTTGGGTCGAAAAAGCTTCATCATGCCATACTTGGGACCTAGGGGTAGCAATTCCCGTCCCCTGCATTGCGCAAACTACGAGTAAAGCTGGCTCTCATTCTAGCAAACATTTCGACCCACACTATTATGAGGAGCATGAAAGCAACGGCGAAGCTACCTAACCGTATTTCGCTTAGACTAGCGCAATCACAACCGCGGGTAGATATTTTCAGTCAACTGTGTGCCCCTCGCTCCTTCACACGTACAAAACCCCTCAGCTTCCCAAATAATTCATTGGTGGCAGTAAGGACCGAACGACTCTTTGGATCTCATTCTAGAAGCAATACCTTGTACCGTCACTCCCTTACTTCAAAAACGACACTTCAGTAAGCATTCCCCGCGTCTTGTGCCGTTCAACCAAATCCAGTTATCCAAGTCTAACAGACCACAGGTCTCTTCCCCAAATAACGAAAATGGATTACCAAGCACCTGCTGCTGGCGCCGGTGGCCGTGGCTGCTACAACTGTAAGTGAAAACTGTACCGATTTTGCACCGACACAGTCCCTGCAGAGACCCCGCTATGGAGAATCGGGCATACTCTGGAGTTTCTCCCTGCACCGTATTCGGAGACTTCTTTGGGCGCTTGGTGCGTCAGCGGCATGCTTGTGCTATCTGCTCCAGTTGCGAGGGAAAGGAGCAACTTTGGATATCCTAGACTGTCTTTGCGCCGGCTCTCACAACATATCACACTGGAGGCGCTTTTGCTGACAATGTATAGGCGGAGACTCTTCTCACCGCGCTGCCGAGTGCCCCACCAAGGGTACCCCAACTTGCTACAACTGCGGCGAGAAGGGCCACGTTAGCCGTGAATGCACTTCTCCCCAGGCAGAGAAGACCTGCTACCGCTGCGGTGGTACTGGCCACATCTCCCGCGAGTGCACCAAGGACGGCGGTGCCCCCATGGGCGGCCGTGGCGGTGGTAGCCAAGAGTGCTACAAGTGCGGCCAGGTCGGACACATTGCCCGCAACTGCTCGCAGGGCGGTGGATACAGCGCCGGCAGTCGTGGAGGATACGGTGGCGGTGCTGCCGGTGGCTACGGCGGTGCTCGCCAGACCACTTGCTACTCCTGCGGTGGTTTCGGTCACATGAGCCGTGACTGCACCCAGGGCCAAAAGTGCTACAACTGTAAGCGAAGGCAGACCAGGCTACATGAGTGATACTGACCATTCTTTAGGCGGTGAGGTCGGCCATTTGTCCCGTGACTGCCCCCAGGAGACTTCTTCGGAGCGCGTCTGCTACCGCTGCAAGCAGCCTGGCCACGTCCAGAGCGCCTGCACCAACTAGGGTGTTGCCGGATCCGTCGATGTTTTGATCTGGGACGAGTTTCGATGCACCGAATCGCCATCAAGCACCCATGATGGCGAGTCGACTTTCCGATGTTAGAGATTGCGCGCACGGTACGACGAATCATCGACATGATTATGATTTCTTTTCTTGTATATTTTCATTCTGCGGCTCGCCGCCGTCTTTCGACGCTTCACGAAAAGCATAAGTCGCCCGGGCATGATTGGACGGCCTTTTCCAGAGTTGGCTGTACTGTCAAGAGAGTTGGTTATCGGAAAAGTCTTAATCCAGGAAGAGCGTTTGGTGGGAGATACATTGTGGGTGGATAGGAGAGCGGATCCTTATGCGAGCAACGAATGAAGCAGTGCGTGGTCTGCACGTGGACTTTGACTGTAGGAGAGCGAGGTCTCTTTTGGCGGATGACTAGTCTTGTGGTTGCGAGTGCGCAGCCAAGGACCTTGACTGAGGTTGAATGAAGGAACCAGAAAAGTTTCCACCATCGGGTGGGCTCCTCAATTTATACTGTGCCATTTTCATGCACCGTGATGGACGTACGCTAACCAGATCCAACATGTGCGAGTGATTTTGGACATGCATGTGCTCAAGTGGGCGGCGTGGCGAGGGGTGACAGGTACACTTAGCGAGCAAAACATAGTAATTTTACAATGGGATGACATGTTGATAGTTTAGAGTATTATGCTCATGTTGTTTGATCTTGGCTCCAACATACGGTTGTGATGTGATTGCTTAAACCGGCGTGATGAGTGAATGGACGTGGACGGTGCCAAGCGAAGTTGTGCCCGCGTTTCGTTTACCAAACAACATCATAGCGGTGCCCGCGACAAGCACAGTGCACCATCATCGACGCGTCAATCACAGCAATACGCGCACCCGTCTTTTCTCAACCGAACCGTTCAACCATGGCGCCTCCCAAGAAACGCGAGAATCGCGAAAATAATTTCTATAATATTGGTGTTCAGGGAAGGTGCGCAATCCATAGGATTTTGTTTGTGTTTGCGCAAAGTTAACATTGCACAGGAAGACTGGCATCACACTTGCAGACAAAGGGGTATACGACGAACATGGCCTTGAACCAATATCGGGCATCTTCTCGTCGCCCGAAAGGTCGCCACCCAAGCGTGGGGGGAACGCGACAGGTTCAGAGTCGATGGAAATTCAAGAGAGTATGTTTTGATTGAAGCACTTGCGCAATTCCTACCGTCCAGCCGATTATGCGCTGACATGCGCGACAGGTTCTATCCCAGAACTCGCTACGTCCCACCAGATTTTGCGCAACAACCGTACACACCTCCCTCCGCCGCGGGCGCGATCGCCTATGAAGACTGCGCTTGGATCCTCGCCGCGACGACAATCATCCATGGCACCGAGGGGGAGCTCTGCTGCTCCCTCTAGTCCTGTGCGCGCTGCGTCGCATCCCATTGCCCGACGGCTTGACTTTGAACAGGATGAATCTAGTCTGCAAGAAACGCCGGCGCTAAGTGGATCAGGTGCGCGACGCGGAAAGCGTACAGACGTGTACGATATACCCGAAGATGAGGGCTCACCACTTCCAGAACAAAGCGCGGTGTTTGAGGAAAGCGTCGTCCAGGAGGAAATCACAGCAAACGAAGCGTCAGTAGCAGCCGTGAAAGAGAGCTTTGTCGCGCAGATCGGAGAAGACTCAATAAACGAAGCCGAGGAGGTCGAAGACTTGGTGGACCAAGAAGAGTCGGAGATTGTGCCAGAACCTGTAAAGGAGCCCGCTAAGAGGGGTAGGAAGCGCAAAAGCGATGCCGTGAATATCTCAGAGGAAGAGCAGGCAGTAGTAGAGCAGCCGCGGAAACGTGGTCGTCCCCCTGGAGCGAAAGCAACAGCATCAGCATCAGAGAAGACGGGCAAGAAGAGCGCACCTGCAGCTGCTCAGCGACGACGGTCACAGCGCGTATCCGACATTAGCGAACCTGACCCCAGTATTGTCGAAGCCCCCGTCGATGACTCCATAGACCAATCCGAGCAGATAGAAGAAGCACCCGTCGCACCAAAACGCCGAGGACGGCCGCCGCGAGTACAACCGGACGCCGAGGAGGAACATACTGCGACAGCAAAACCAGCAAAAAATGACTCTTCCAAGGGAAATGCAGAGGCGGCGGCTTTCAAGAAGCCCATAAAACCTGTGGGCAGGCCTAAAGCAAACGCAGAACCTAAGAGCAAACCCGCGAGTGCGGAGCCAAAGCCAAAGCCAGCTCCAAAACCAGCGCCAAAGCCGAAGGAGAAGTCAAAAGAGAAGACTCCACAAGCAGACGCTGATGATGTTGGCAAGCTTGTGGATGTATACGGCAATCCTCTTAGCAAAAAGGACCTCGATCAGATGTCTACTACTTCAGCTGGATCACGATTCGGACGCGGTCGACATTTGTCTGTTTTCCGCGAGATGGATCCAGATAATGTTGCTCGCGTGGGACGCACTGGCAGGCACCGCGTTGCGCCCATTGATTTCTGGAAGAATGACCATATTTCATACGACGTGGACGGTAGCATGACTTCCATCGTCAAGAGCCAGGAAGTAGAAGAAAGCCGGAAGCGTAGCAAAAAGTCTAGCTCAAAGGGTAAGAAGAAGGCACTCACTGTCGTTGAGGAAGAAGAGATTGAACTCGACCCCTGGGAGCAAGAAGAAGGTGCTCTTGTGGGCAACTATAGGGGCTTTGATGCTGCGACGGAGGTTCCATCGAATGAAATCATTGAAGATAGTAAGTTGCACTATAAATGTCACAAACTTGTCTTTGGCTAACTGGTTCACAGCGATTGCATGGGCCGAAAAGGGCATTCAACCCCGAGATGTTGGGGATGGCGGCTTCAAATTCGCAAAGATTGGTTCTAGTGGTTCCTTCTTCAACTGGGGACTGATTGAACTGGGCCCCGACCAGATGAAGCGTACCAAGAACTCACGATACATGCATATGGTCTTCAATGTACAATCAGGTACAGTAGAAGTCCGCATGCATGAAAATGAATTCACGGTTCACAAGCAGGGCGTCTGGCAAGTTCCTCGAGGTATGTCAAAGCATTCCCTTTTCTTCCCTTCAAAGTTTTCATATCCTGTTTCTTTCCATTCCGCACATACATCTTTCAGCCCTCATTTCCCACTCCCGCTTCCTGCGCCTCCATCGGCTGTGTACGACGATGACTACTCTCATCTTGGACGCACGTCGGGATAGTGCATGTGTTCACGACATGCGGCGTGGTACATCCAACAACCGTCGCACAGCCTCGGGGCCCGTGACAATAGCGAGACCAGGGCAAGCGAGCTTTGCGCCAAGCGAGCGAGGCCCCGATTCTCGTCACCTGGCATACTGAGTGGGCGGCTGCGTGCTGCTGCTGTGCTACAAATATCCGACGCTATTTTACCTGCAATTTTCAAATTAGCCGACGGAACACAAGACAGCCGTTTGGCGCGCTGTCTGGCCTCGGCGGCTACGGCGCAAACAACACCACCGCGTCTTTTCCTTTACCCCGGTTTTATTTTCTCCGTACCACCATCACGTTATGTCTATCATATTACACCAAGACAGCACGTGGGATGCGCCTGGCGCGCCTTGGGCTTTACCTTGGGCATCGTTTTCTTCCCCCTTGCCCTTTTTCTGCTAGTCGTGAACGTCACCAGGGACCACTTGGTCTACTGCAGTGTCATCTTTTCTTGATCATCACATGGGAAGAGAGGAGAACTAACGCGGTCCGTCTTATGCAGGGAACACGTATAGTATCAAGAATATCGGTAGCGGCACGGCTCGCATTTTCTTTGCTCAGGCTAGGGAACTGCATGTTCAGGAGGAAGATGAGGAGGAATAAGGTGGGGCGAATTGTATGGTGATGACGAGGGAGTGGGAAAGTGGGGGTTTTTTTTTAGTTTGGGGCAGGAGGGGTAAGAGCGGCTCTGTCTGAAATGACAAGTTTACTGCTGGCTGGCTGGCTTCCTTCTTTGACATGAATAGGAGAATGGCAGGGTGTGTGTGTGTGTTGTTTATTACAGCCGCGAAGCAATCGTTCACTACCTAACCGATTCAAAATCCACCAGTATCCAAACCAAACCCCTTCTTTCCCCTTTACCCAACTCGTCGGATTGATTCGAAACCCCCGTTGTCACCCACCCCCCTCTCACCTAAGCAATGGTTCGCGCAGAACAGTCCTCGTTCCTTGTTCCTTATCCACGCTTGTTTTCGCGCTCAGGTGGGGTACATATCATCAGGGAGTGGGGCACTATTGACAGGCTAGCTTGTGCTTAGCTGTCTCTTAGTCTCTGTTTTGTCTTGTAACCATACGTTCGCGTTGTTCGCTTTTTAAATTAAACCATCATTCCGCAATTTGTTTAGTCTGCAGGACTAGAGTGGAGAATGTTGGTACTGTACATACGTTATGGGGGTATAGGTGAGTGAGGTTATTAGTTTGGAGGTTGCCGCGGGTGCCACGGTAGCCGGAGAGGGCGGGGGATGCGGCTGTTGAGGTTGGAATGGAAGAGGTTGGGTAGTTAGCAGGCGCGGTATGCGAGGGATGCGCTGGGCCGTGGGTAGCCGTGTTGGTGGATATGTAGTGTCTGGTTTGATCTGGTCTGATTGGCTTGCAGTTGGCTGATACTTGGTTAGGATTGAGGAGGTTATGGATAACAGGTAGGACGATGGTATAGCAGATGGATATCGAAATACGACATGGATACTAAGAAATTTCTATGGCTTGATTTTGTTCTTTGCGCGTGATTGTTTCTCGCCATCTTACGTGTTTGCTATGGTAGTTAGATACCATACAAGGTACGATCAGACTTGTCAGGACATTGAAAGATTTTATCATCTTACTACAACACTCCCTGTGCGTTCGTAGGATATGTTGATTTATGTAGAGGTAGCATAGAAAAGAAGGATAGGATAAGAGGGAAGAGTAAAGGGGAAGATATGATGTAAGAAGACGATGAGTCAAGAGGTCAATATTCCTGCCGTATGTATAATGTGGGAGGTAATAGTATCAGACGGTCGATGTCGAATACACACAATGATGAGTATATATTGTATACTATCTTTTGTTTTCTAGGACGAACCACATGATAGCATAGCATCTCATAGCAGTAGGCCTACACATTCATCCCAAGCGGAGAGTGCATATCGTGAATTCAATGACAAATTTAGTCAGAGAGAGAAGACGTGTATACACATGTCTGCTACGACCCAGAAGATCTTCAAGATGTAAAAGCAAATATGTTCAAATTCTCACCTCACCGTCCCTCACTACATGATGTCTATGCGAGCGCGTCTAACTCGCTTACCTTTGTACAACATTCGCTTACAACATCAGTGTAACCTCACCACTCACCTCGCCTCGATTTGCATCTTGCGTCAACAAGACTTTGGTATCACAGCATCTCCCGTCTCCACAAGCGAGTGGCGGTATTTTGCTTTTGCGGACAGGAACCAGTAAAACATGCAGACGCAGAAAACGGTCAATTATATCGTGTACATACGCGCGAGAGGAAAGGGGAAAGATGGGGGGGGGGGGGCGAGGCAGTGATCCCGTTCCTACTGCACTGCAGCAAGGAATCAAGGATCGGGGAAGCACAGCTCCAGTACGTACGTCACGCGTTGGAACAAATAAAGGGGGGTTGGGATTTGGTGTGGTACACAAACATGCCTCTCCCCTGTGTACCTTGTCAAGACGGTGTGGAAGTGGCGTTTTTGGTGGCGTGGTTTTGTTGTACGACTCAGACACATTTTAGCTACGCTTCCTTGACTCAACGACTAGATTAAAGCGAAAACATTCGGATTCGCATGTAGATCGATTTCCGCGTGAGGGCAGTGGGCAGAACGGGATCTGCGTGGTTCGGTTTGTGATGGATGGGGCGATGCGAGGTTGCAGGGAGCGGTGTGGATTGCTGTGTTGGATCGTAGATTTGTCTTGCATCCCTGGTCCTTGGGTCGAGGCTGAGGGTGATTATGGGATGGTATTGTGGGCTATACTTGATCCATGGAGTCATTACGAGATGGGTAGAGGGACATGCTAGAGCGGTGTGAAGCGGTGTAAGGACGTTGGTGTTGGTCGACGACATGCCGGCAGTCTGCGTCCTTCTCCACCCAACGGCGACGATCTAGATGGCGCGCGTGGATCATCCGGTACCGAGTTTCTACTAGAAGATGGTTCAAGAATATTGCATGTTAATCAAAGGCGTTCCTGGCGGTGTGAAGCGGTGTATACCCTGTATTGTTCCTGGAGTGTGTCGCATGTCGACGTCCGGTGAAGATGGATACCCACCACCGATCTCACAAGGCGCGGGTTTACGACTAGAGAGACTTTGCTAATAAAATAAACGAGTCGGCCGGTATCAATCAAAGTTTCTGGAAGGCGGGTTAGGTTGTGTAACAGGTTCGCGTGGCGTCTGTCTTCTTTGTGTCGCGCGATGGCGTCGGTGACACCGCTTCTCTGCAACACTGACATGAGAGAGGCTCTTGTTGAGGTCCCCATGGTACCCGCTGACGTCGAAACAATCTCTTTTCTGCTCCACTGCATCGCAAACGAAACATCCGACTCGACTTGCCGTCTATGTCAGACAGTGTCATGTTTAGTCTATCGTGGCTTTCATCTCATGGAGTCGCTCAAGGACTGCGTACGGGTCCGGCTTGGAGTTTGAGGCCTCCCGTCGTCAGGTCCACGCTGGGCCGTCTCAGCATCACGGGGGATAAACCTTATGCTCCTACCCGCTTTTTACTACAGTACAGACTCTAGCACATGGACTTGACGTCTACGGTGAGATGCGGCGATGCTTCGTGTTTGAGGCATTGATGATTCATGATTCGTAAGATTTGAGAATTGGGAAGGTTCGGCGCTTTAGCGGTAATTCCCTTTTGTTCCGATGAACTGGTATGAACTACTGGACCGGCACCAACCTTCTTGCGCTATTCCTAGTGCTGCAATCTTGACATCGAACACCCAATTCTGGGTTTCGGATGAAAAATTTCGGACCAAACTCACTGGAGGGCTATTATGCGGTCGTAATGCACTGCGCAATTCTTTTGTCAATGCAGGAGGAGGTGGTGGGGCTGAGAGGTCTGGCAGGCGGCCCCGCAAGCGTTGGCTGGCTGGTATGAGCTGATTTTGCTTGCTTTTGGTTTGTGAAAAAGCAGCACACTGCAGCGCATGGCTGATGCAAATAAGAGTTCCTGTCGTGTTCCACGGCTATTCGGTCTCGTCTCAACACCGCAAGGCCCGGATGCTGATGACTGCATGTGCGCTACGGAAAGTATGGGGTGATGGAGGTTCATTTCCATTTCTTCAAACCGGTCCATTGCAGATGATCAAACGGTGGCCGGCCAAATCTGCCCAGCACAAAGCCGAAATTGGTAGACTGCTTCAGGTGCCGGCCAGATGGAGTCGCAAACCTGTGGGCAGGAACGCATCATGATCCATGGTTCATGGCCGGCGTAGGTGGTTGGTCCACATGTCATAGAACGGTTTTGCCTTGCCCTTGTCGTGTTTCGGCCCAAGGCAGCGATCCCGGGCGATCAGAAGGGAAGGGAGTCCCAGGCTCGGATTAGATTGGGGGGAAGGGCAAGCGACGGCGATTAATTAAATGGAAAAAGGAGACGGCAGCCCGGGACCTTCTCAGGCTCGTACGAGGCGGAAGGGCTGAAAAGGTTTGCAGCAGGCATGGGACGGGCTTGTTGGGTGGAACAGGGAAGGGTGGACGGTGTGTCAAGTGAAAGGGTGTCGTCATGTACATGATTCGCGTTTGGCGAACAGGTGGGAAATTCGATGATGCCGGTTCGGGAAGGCTTCTCGAAGCAGGATCGTCGCAGCGAAAAGGACCAGACGGCACAAGAACTGTCTGGGTGTAGTCATGCACAAAACAGGCGCTTTCTTTTACGTCTGACAATGCGCGCCGTGCACACAGGGCGGCTCGGGTGTTTGGACATGTTTGCAGTTCGGATCATGCGAACACCATTGATGCAACCCAGGGAAAAACTAAGGCAAAGGCGGGCGAATGGCGCCGAGGCGACTGTCGTCGCATGTCCCATGGTCGCCGTCTTCCGCGACGGTTCTGGTCAGGTTTGCATGGCAAGTGTCTGCCTTATTCGCCAGGTTCTTGACTTTGTCCGGCCTGGGTTTGTCCATGCCGGCATGATGGGCAATCTACCTGAGTGCCGTGGCGTGTAGTTAATTGTCCGTCGCGAACGGCGGGTGTGTATGTACGGCGAGAGAGTTTGTCATTGGAACCTACCGAGTGGAGCCCTGCAGGCGACCTTCTAGAACGATGATGGAAGGCTGACAAAATCAATTTAGGGAGATTTGGGCGTGTAGGCTAGACTGTTTCAAACCCGTTCACGAGGGTGTGGGACGTGCATGTGCTGCATCTTCAGCCTTGTGCCGTCAGTGGTGCGGGAACGGAACGGAAGGTCAGGAAAAAAAATTAATGTCGGATTGACTTTTGTCGGCCAAACTATGACAAGTAACTAGAACTAGACGATGGGAGGGGGATAACAAGGACGAGGCGGCTGCATGGTAACAAAAAGGAAAAGCTGTCTCAGTATCGATAAGCCCTACCGTCCACGACTCACACAGGCTGACACTCTCAAACCATGCCGGTCCGTCATGCCAATCCTGCCGTCTGGCGGTGCTTTTGCGGGGCTGAACACCCTCATTCCTGCAAACCGATGACACGCACCGAGCCCAGCCCCAAAATAGTCTTTCTAGCCATGCAAGGACAGCGAACCGTTCCAGGCAGGTTCATGCAGCCCACGCTTTTGCTCGTCACATCCAATCGCAGCCAAGTGAGGCTACAAGGCTGTGCTAGTGGGGACCGTGAACAACGCACTCTACACCCTCTTGAACGAGCAGCTTGCCCCAAAATTCCCGACCTAATCCTTTCGCCACGAGCGGTGACAGCGCAGCGCTCCGGGCTCTGAGAGTCGGCCACGTAGACGTCGTTTGACCGACTTTGAGACGGCAACCGTGGGCTACGTCATCAGACGATGATCTGGGGTAGATGAGTCTTGTCTTGCTGGGGAGGCGGTGGGAATTTGCTGTTCACCGCCACGCCAACCTTGAAATTGGAGCAGGGAAGGCTTGCCTTGTGATGCTGGACGTGTTCACTGTTGAGAAATGCTTTTATTGTAGAGTTTGCGAGCAGCTGTCGGGTGATTAGAGAGTAAAAGTAGGCCTCGGCGTGAAAACTTGGTCGTATTCTATGCCATGGTTCAAGTCTGTGGCACTGCCATGCTGGCTTGCAGTTGCAGAGTGTGTGTAGCAGGGTGTAGGTGGCGCTGCTGCTCGGTGCGCGCTTGATGCAAAAATTCTTCTTCTATGGGTATGCTGGTGTGTTGGAGCATCTACTAGCTGGTTTGACCTAGGACATGAGGAAAAAGCAATGACTGATGTACTATGATAGGTATTCCCGCCCACGCTATGCTAATGTTGAGATGGTAAAGAGGTAATGAAACGCTACGGTAAATGCACAATCATGACCACATCAGAAAGCGTGTGACTTGAGAGTAACAGGAAAAGGACAAATGCAAGTCTAGAAAGAACAAAGACAGACGCTATGATGCTTTGCGATGCGACAAATGCCAAAGAGATGATATCAAAGCAAAATATACAACCAACCCACGCTAAATGCCACAATCATGACCGCGCAAAACGGAAACCTCCGTTGTATGCCATGCGTGCCTGAGCTGGTCCCCAATCTAAGCGTTGTGGTGTTGCCATACGCCTAACCACCTGTTGTGCGCCTAAGCCCCAGGGTATACCCACGCTCATTACGGTTCCTGCCCGAATGTATGCACCCAAAATCTACCCATCCAACCTCTACAAAAAAGGGAAATCGTTGCGTGATGATACCGTTTCGTTTGAAATGTCTCTATACGACCGTTGGTGCCGAGCGCTCGTATGGCGTGGCCTGTTGGGGCGGCGAAGGCACTGTTCGCTCGGCTTCGTCAGGCTCCCGTTTCATGCTCTTGATGCTTCCCGTCGCACTGCGTTGTGACATGCGGTCTGGGCTCCTCATGTCATGGCATCTAGAATCCGGTTCCGACCGGGGCGGGCCTGCAGCCTCTTCATCCCGCCGCCTTTGCTGGTACGCCTCCAAGTAGCTCGGACCCTCGTGCTCTCTCTTGACACCCTGCATGCCAGGTACAGGCGCTGTCCGAGCCCCGCTCACCAAGTCATCTTCCGACTGTGGGAGAATCTGAGGGAGCGGTTGGCCAAGCTGGGGAGGAACGCTTGCTCGTGATCGGGGGTCCGCGCGTCTACGACTGAATGAGCTGTTTCTCCTCCGTCCTGCACTGGAACCACTGTCTGTGCGGTGGTGGTAGCTATGCATCGGGCCCTGAGGCATCGGTGGAGGAACCTGATGGAGCTGCGGTGGCATCGGCGGCGGGTTTGGCATTATTTGAGCAGCATTTGCAGGTGTAAAGCCATGCGGAGCAGCAGCAGGAATTACAGGCACTTGCGACGGTGAGCTCATGCCTGTGCCCGTTGCAGATGGGTGAAGCTGAAACACCGGCGCATTGGCGCGTGCGCTCATCTCCTGCTCTCCCAGCTGCCAGTGCATCGACTCGGCCGATCTCCAGGGAATACCCATCTCAGTAGCAACCTTCTGCCACATTTGGTCCTTGAATCTATTGCGCATGTTAGCATTGCTTTAGGTAACCGGTGAGAGATGCGTCGCATGCGCGTGGGGTTGGAGGGGGAGGGGGGGCGGAAGTAGTTGACCACCAAAGAATGAGGCAGAGACGACGACCAAATTGAGTCGGGCTGGCTATCATCCAGTGTTGTCTGATTGTACATACCGAGCGTAGAGTCTTGCAAGCTTGTTCTTCTTCTCTTCGTCCCAAATGGCGCGCTTCTCGAGGTAATTTTGGTATCGCAGACGGCACGAGATGGAGCTCCTTCCAGGTAGGCGTTTCGCAATGTCGTCCCACTTCATTCCCTGACCCCGCAGTTCAATCGTCAGATTGTCCTCTTCTGGCGTCCATTTGGACTGTTTCTTGGCTGGAGATTCATCTGGGAGCGGTGTCTGGGAAGCTTGTCGTTTCAGTGTCGATGGGGGAGAGCCATTGGTTCCAGGTGGGGCGTGGTGGCTCGGTGCTGGTCCATGTGGGCCGGCGTAGAGGGCACGGAACTGTGGTAGAGTAGCTGGGTCAGGTCGTCGTTGGAGTTCAGAGATGGCGGGCAAGACAGGTCCTCCTAGCATTGATCCGGGTCCTTGGGGAGCTGATGTGGGCGCCTGGGCGTAGCCCGACATTTGTCCATAGGGTTGAGGTACCGCATACGGCGGCGAGCCAGCGTAGGCAGGCGATGCTCTTTGCGCTGGGGATTGCGTGTATGCCGAGGGCGCAGTCGTATATCCCCTGGTTGCACCTGTCGAGTGAGAGGCATTTGAGACGGAGCTCTTCTTGCTCGCTGGTGACTCTGAGCCCCGAGCGCGAGGCTCGAGGAGGAGATTGATATCCACGATAGGCGAGATGGACTAGCTTCAAGCCAGCCCATATGTTGAAATAAAAGGTTCTTGGACTCCTAACACCACCAAAGGCCAGAGATTCCGGGAGCCGTGTACGGGACCAGAAGTACCACTCGGAGCAGGAGGAAGTTGCAGCCCAGGGATGGAGTTGGGCAGAGGTAAGGCAGAGACGTCAGGTGTATGGGTCGACAGCAACTGGTGGTAAGCAGTGTGTAGTTGGTAAACAACAACAAGGAGGCGGAGCTCAGAGAGACTGTTTGTTATGGTGGAGTTTGAGGTGGAACAGGAGAGGAACAGTGGTAAGGTGATGAGGTTCGGATAGACTAAATGTGCCGATGAGGACCCAAGTAGCCAGTTGCAATGTTACTTGGATGATTCACACTCTAAGTGGTCGATCGACTCGAGCTATTTGGGCTATGGGCCGGGGCTCTCGGGGCAGGGGGTGAAACAGGCCAACCACTCGGTCTGGTCAAGGATGGACGTGCTGAGCCACTGAGTTTTGCAGGTCGAGAAGGTAGGAAAGCGACGGGATGAGGGATGGTGGATGCGGTCTGGTAGGAGCAAAGTAGGGTCTGAGGTACTTGTTGCATGGATGAGTGAGTAGAGAGGGTTAGCGTGCGACTGTAATACTAAGAACAGGCATCCCTTGAGGGCCCTGGCTGGCGCCGCCTCATCGTCCGCGGTAGAGATCCGGGGGCTTGGGATCAGGATGTACCCTTTGCGTTTCTGACTTGACACGGACTACTTTTACGCTTAACGCTTTCTCGACTCGTGCTGGCGGCGCCACATTAACGACCCACAGACCACGAAGTCACCACAGCTGATCCGATCTAAGGAAGCATGTCTGCCGGAGATTTTAGCGAGCAAGCAAAAGGAAAAGAGAAGCGCTTCTGCCCTCGGAGCCCAAATTACCAGCCTTAGCTTGACACAAAAAGCACGACACCCGTTCTCGCAGGCGCTGTCGGCGGTGGTGAAAAGCTGCTGCGATGACGTGTCGCGCTGGTACAGTATCTCTGTCTCTCTCCACTGCGTGGGAATGGCATTGGCATGGCCTCATTTGCGGCCGTCTGCTCCTATTTGCCGCCCTCTTGCGTCGTCGTTGTGGTCAGGCCGTTGGTGTCAGGCCTCAACAGGCTTCCTTTGCATGCGCCGCCCGAGACGGGGCTGCGGCGTTTGCACACGACGGGCATCCGGGCAGGGGGAGCAGCAGTCACGATGGGCATATTGCAGCGTCTGGAGCGTGTTTCTGTCCTGTCATGGGGAGGCAGCGAATCAAGCGCCAACATAAGCGGTGAACAGTCTCAGGGATTCGCTCATGGCTCGGGTTCGGAAGAGCGCAAGCGCGATGACCTGGAAGATCTGCAGCATCCTCGCCCTGCACCGGCTATCTGACGCCAGAAGCGTCGCTACCGAAGCCTTGCGAACGGCTGACTTCACTCTGGCGGTGCCGGCGGTGATGTGTTCACGCCAAAGGCTTGCCAACGTCGACAGGCCTCCGGTCAAGCCGTCAAGCCCCCCCACCGAGGCCGGCAATCGATGGCCTTGAGGCATGGAGCAGGAGCGACGACGCAGGCGCAGGCGCAGGCGACATGTCGGGGCAGAGGAGCGGTGAAGGGTGACGTCCTAGCCCGCCGCCTACCTGCTCGAGCCGGGCCAAACACGATGCTGGCCGCCGCTGGCACACGCAGGTGTTTATGCGTTTGATGGGGCTTGCTTGCTTGTCAAGTCTGCCAGTCTGGCCGTCGAGTGCAGTGCATGGCTGAAGCCAGACTGCCTGTCACGGGTGAGGCCGAAGCTACTAGATAGATATGTAAGAGGTATACGTAGCTACCTGTCCATGTCTACATGTACCAGGCTTGCCACCCACGTGAGACACGGCCACTGTCGCACTGCTGTCTTGTGTCGACGACGCACGTTGTCGCTGTCGTTCAAGTTGGAGCTGCTGTGTCATGTCATATGTCGTATTCATGTGCGACTAGCAGCGCGCGACGTGCCGAACAGGCCGCCATGGCCATGGACATTGCATCACCGTGTGCTGTGTGCTGCTGCAAGTCCAAGTCAAACTGCGCGAACCCCCCGAGAGCCGTGATGCGTTTGCAGCATGATGCGCATTAGGCGGTGAGGACGGGACCCAAGTCACTGAATCTGTCTGGTCGTCCGGAGGGGTGTGGTGGTCGTGGTTGATGGCAGCCCGTCGCCGGCTTGGGACCGACTTGGACAAGCTGCATTAGCCATGAACAGCATCCCCGTGCGTTCCTGTCCAAGCCAAGCCCTAAGCCGCTCTCTTTCTGGCTTTTCGTCGGCGCTGCCAGTGGTGTCGATGATTTCAGGACTCCCCACAGACTGCGTTGCAACCAGTGTATGGCATGCGAACCTGACTTCCCAAGCCCCGGTCGACGTTCCGATGCACCGTGCTTTGTGTTGCTGCTTTTACCACTGACTGCTGCTGGCTGCTGGCTGCTGCAGTCCTACCTGCGCAGCCACATGCCCGTCGATAGACACACTGTAGCGACAGGTGTACAAAGGCGCAGCATCCTCTGTACTGTATTTTTAGGCCTGCATTGCATCGTCACAGGCGGTGAAGCTGGCACAAACCAACCCAGGCCAAACCAAACCAAACCAAACCGACACGGCCCTGTCGATTCCGTCGCACCTCACATCACGGAGAGGCTGCCTGCAAGCGCTGCCCGCGCTGCCCGTTTGTGCACAGTAGATCGGACAACGGCGGCTCACTCGAGGCTTCCCCGCGAACAGTGCCGCGAGGGCAAACAGATGCCATTAGATGGGCAATAACCACAATCTCTTGGCTGACCAAGGCTCTGTTTCGAATCGTCTTTCCCCTGCAACCAGCTGGAGCCGGCTGCTGGCTCATCTCCAAATCAGCCCTCCGCAGAGGACGCAGAATGACGAGGGCGTTCCCAGGATTGCCAGCGCACGGCGTGGGGTTCGTTTCCCACGCAATTCCCTCCTGAGCGCTGAGCGCGTGGGAACGGCGTGGGTGCTAGAGTTCGTGTTGCCTTTTCTGAGACATTCACTGCGGTTGAAACGCCCAGCTTGGCACTCGCTCGCTAAAGATACCCAATGCGCTCCTACTACGCTAACCCTAAAACGCCTTGCTTTTCCTCGGCACTACCGTACACTATACGCCCAAACCGACCAAACCGGCCGCATAGAGAGCGGGTCACCTGTCAAACTCGGAAAAGTCACGTCTTCGCCGCTTACCTCACTGGCGTTGCAGGGCTGTACCCTATTGCAGAACCGCTCCCGGAGCCCCCACTATCATTGGCGCTCTCTCGACGACACCATCACCCAAGGCAATCAGGCAGTCAGGCACCTCATTTTAACTCTAATCTCGTCCTCGACAACGACTAGTCCACCTCCACCAGCATACCCCAGCAATCATGGCCCTTCAGAGTGCGGCAGATGTGCCGCTTCTCATCACGTCCCCGAACTCATCCTCGGAACGCCGTATTTCTCCGTCGTGGTCCATTGCCCAGCTAAAGGCACGACTCGAGCCCATTACCGGTGTCCCCGCAAGCTGCCAACAGCTATCATTACGCGTTGGATCCCAAGATGCCGTCGCCATCTCCGCTGTAGATGAAAAGCAGACGCGCCTTGCTGCGTTTCCGCTGCAGCCGTATGCGGAGATGACCGTAAGTGCTTCTTCTACTCTCTCATTGCATACTGTTGGCCGCCCTGTCCTTGACCGGTTTGATATCCTGTCCTCTCGCCAGCTGCCACATTTCTTATTCCCCGGCTCAGCCACCATCATGTCCCTGGCACCTACTCTGGCCTCCTGTTTAGCACCGTCATGCACTTTGCCACTTTCTTCTTTATTCGTCCGTTGCTTCCCCATTCGCTCATCTCTTCCCCATTCGCTCTTGCCCTTCCTTATTCGTCACATGCGTCCGACGCTGAGGCTGTCGGCTCAACCTCGCGTGACTTGGATGCCCCGCAATCCCCCCCTCGCTGCCCTCCACTGGTCATCTTTGTCAGCGTGACGGCCTTGGCGAAGCGCCGCACGCGTGGGACAACCATCCCTCGGGTCACTCGCCAACATCAGATCCTCCCGCCTGAGCACTGGGCCTTTCTGATACAGGCCATAAACCTCCATGGGCTCGAGCATCATGGTTCGGCCTCGCTACCACATTCCTCTGCTGCTGCTACTTTGTTTTGTTCGGCCATTCGGCCTTATTGAAACACATGATCCTGCTTCATGAATCGACCCCTGTATCCGCTATTCAGCTTGACATACATTGGGACAGGGCTCTGCCAACAAATGAATGCTCTCAAATAGTCTTTGGTGCTAACATGCTAGCTCTAGGTTGTTGACACGCGTCCCTCCGCTGCACGAACGGACTTTACTGATCTGTCATCCGTCACAAAGTATGAGATGCCCGCCGCCGAGTACGAGCATCGGTCCGATAGCGTTCTCGCTTGGAAGAAAGCACAGAAGCTTGGCCGGTTCGACCCAGATGCCCCTAGCATCGAGCAGCAGAAGATCCGCGCCTCTGAGCGTGAAGTAGAAGAACGAGGTAAGAGATGTTTGTTTCTGCCTGTTCCCGCGTGTCAAGTCGTATGTTTTGTGGCAGAGAGAGCAGCAAAAGCAATTCCAATTGTCGCAGAACATTCTCATGTCTGTGCCGCATTGCCCGTTGGCCGCTTTCGACATGCAACCCCGAGTTGCTTCAAACAAATCCCAAAATGGAAACCCGGATTGCCTCAAACTCCGAAAACCCGTAAGATATCTTGGCTGGCTATAGCTGGCTCATGATATTACATTTTGCACTCCCATACCAGCCAGCTAAAATATGCGCCATCACAAAAATCTCTCCATAATGAGCATCCGCCTACCACGCACATCATAGCGAATTGCCCCTTCCAGCATGCTGCAGCTGATCCTTGGCACCCGTGGATCCAGACCTCCATGGCCAGTACAATGGCGTCTGACGTTTCGTCTCAAATCGGTCTACCGTATTTAAAACAAATAGACAACTTCGTGTAAGATCCGGATATCGTTTACTGTTCCGTTGGCCTAAAGATCTCGCCTCGCTACCCGTCCCGTTGGGAACATGCACGGAGCAAAACTCCCCGAAACTCAAAAGCGATCATCTACTCGCCACCCACCTCATTATCCAGCTTCATTCGTCGACAGGTTTTGGAATACACTTCTTCTACGACATATAATGTTTCCTCTACACGGAATAGACTGATGGCAGCGGGTGGCGCGGCCCGCCTGACCAGTAGCTCGAGGCTTCTATGGTGCGAGCCATCCGCCTGTGCGTTTGTTGACGGCCAACGCCTCATCACATCACGATATTCGCGCGTCACGGCTTCGCTTGAACACCACATTGGACAGCTTATGCATTGTCGAGTCCTCGGTCGATGCCCCGCTTGAGCCCCAGACTCATCTTGATCTCATTCAACGGGCGCTTAGCACGTGTGATGAGGATGCAGGAATCACCTATCGTGTTTCGATTTGCGCGCAACAAGACACCAAATACCGGGATAGCGATTCTCCTACTTTGCGATGGCTTGATCCTCGCTATTTGCACCCAAGTCTGGAATCCTTCATTATATCGAATCGCTCGCCCAGTGCTCTTCGCTGACCGATTGATTTGCTGCGCTCATTTCTTGCCACTGAAACGCGAACCCGAGTACTCACTATAATGACTTGATGGATCTGTTGAACCCCACGAAGCAGATCATACTGACAGGGCAATATAGGTCTAGCGCTCCACGGGCGCGTCCGCCTGTTGCCCGAAACTGACGCACGTCGCGGCACGATATCCTACATCGGTCTCGTCCCAGAGATTCCCGGAATTGGTGTCTGGATCGGCGTCACCTTGGATGAACCGACAGGCAAGAATGACGGCTCAATCAAGGGTAAGCGATACTTTGAGTGTGGGAAGAACTGCGGTGCCTTTGTGCGACCTGAGCGATGCGAGGCTGGTGACTTCCCTCCCCTGGATATGGGCGATGAGGATCTGGAGGAACTGTAGAGCGGCCTGTGCGAAGGGGAGCGGTTCTCCCTCAAGCTGGTCAACCTAACGTGTATATCAAATAACCTCTGCGCCGAGTGTGTCATCCAAACTTTGCATATGACAACCACATTTCAGATCGTGATCTGATGTATAGCTCCGGACCAACTCTCGGTAATAACGACCAAGATGCTTTTTCTCATGTTTGTGCACCTCATAGCCTATCTTACAATGCATGTCTAGCCCGCGACATGTACAGATCCTTCAATGAGCACACCAACCAAGCCAGGCATCACAGCCCAGTACGACCCCATCAATCGATCAATCAAACAATCAGTAATGATATCAGACACTGCAGATCCAAACCCAAATCCAAAAACACAAATAACATGACCAAACCCATCATGCGGTCAAACCCGTCACAATAATCTACCTCTCCTCCCTTCCAAGTTCCAGAATATTCCCCCCACACACATGCATTCCAAATAAACTTTCCCTCCACGTCTAACCCACACACCATCACCACCAAGCCGGCGTGTGTGTGCAGATCAGTCCACGACCACGACATTGCCTCATGCCCCATGAGATGCAAGTACGAGTCATAACCAGCCGGGTCTCAGAACGCCACAAATCACTTTCCTTTGAAGCGATTAACATACGATCAACAACGTCTCTATTCTTCCCCTCGCAAGCCACCACCACAATCAGCTGTTTAGTCAAAACCTGATATGTAAAGCATGATGTTGACTCAGCTCAGCTCAACCCAGCTCAGCCTACCTTTGCTGAGAGTCGAGTCGGTGGGAACTTTGCGTCTAACCCAAACCGCCCACTTTCCTGCAAAGGAAATCCTGCCAAACCTTCTTCTCAAGCCCCCCCTCATCTACGTACCGGTGTTCAATCCATGTTGTCAATCCCATCCGGTCACCCAAGTATCCATGTAGGTATTCATCCGCTTGTTCTAAACCTCATGCCTCCATTCATCCGTGCGGGCGGGCGGCCCATTCATCCGCCACTCACCCCTATCTGCTTCAAATCAACATGAAATCAATCCTACTTAGCTTTCTAACCCGCTACTTGGCTTTCCACCTGCATCTGTACGTCTATGTACGCCTGTACCTACCCCATTCGTACATACATAACAGCCACAACAGATCAACACATACATATACACACACACATACACACACCGCCGCCGTTGCCCCCACCACGACTCCTCATCCTCTCATCCCCACTAACACCACAGCCATCTCCACCCCATCAAACCCCAGAAATCGCTTCATTCCAGCCAGACAGCATGACGACAAAAGTTTATATTTAGACTGGTCGGGATGTACCTAGGTACTTACACACCTCACAAACTAGGTGTCGTACATTGTGTGTAAAAGTGGGCAGCAAGTGGGCAGCAAGTGGGACAGTGGGTTTTCGGGTTTTTGAGCCTGGCCAATCATGTTATCGTGATCTATTTGTGAGAGGTATGGTAATTGCGAGGAAAGTGGGGAGATGGATATGGGTGGGGAAGGGGGTTGACGTAGGCCGGTATGTAGGTAGGTAATGCAATGTGTCTTTTTGGAAGAAAGTAGAAAGACGTAGAAATGGAAACGTGCAAGGAGAGAATGGGATGAAGATGGTTAGAATTGTAATACACGTGTTCACTATTACGTGGCTATATTGCCTCTCGGGTATGTTTATCCTGTCCACTATGCCTTGTTGCTGCTGGGGAAGAATACCGGAGATTGAGCAAAATGGCTAGAACAAAAACCTGATACAGCGTGTTGACTAAGCTCGATAAATCACGAGCAAAGAGTAACAACTTGCAAACAATATGCGTAAAGGTTGAAGGACACTGAGTTCATCAGTCATGTATCACAATCTGATATCATGCAACTTGTATTGCTACAGAGGTGAGAGGTGAATATGAAAATTTGCTAAGACGAATGAGTCAGAAAGATGACATTTCATCCTTCACAACTTGGGTTCCAGTCATGCCAGATATCCGTTTGCGCTCAACCACTCTCTTACAACCTTCTCGTCACGCGCCGCGTATGCCGCATAGCTGCGGATCGTATCGTCGACAACCTCAAGTCCCTTGTTGTAACCCCGGGTATCCTTGTCCTTGAAGAAATTTTGGATATCATCCGCAACAGCCGCATCGGTGAACTTGTTGAGACCGAAGCGCAGGAAGCGCTCTAGCACAACTGGATTCCCACGGAGTGCAGGGTGGACCTTGGAGTCCCAGTTGTCGCGGATGTAGTACCAGACTTCTGGGCGCACCTTGGAGTTGTTGGCCAGGGCAATGGTGGAAGAGTGCTTGTCTTGCATGGCGACGGCATCGGAGAAGACAAAGTCCATGACTTGTTTGGCGAGCTCAGGAGTCTGTACGCGGCCGAGAGAGCCGAGGCAAATCTCCTTGCCGTCGATGGATGTGGTGTTGAGGTACTCGTTCTGGACAGCCTTGAGTGCTGATTCACCGCGGTTCTTAATGGCAGTCGCAAAGACGGCTCGGCGAAGAGACGGGTGAATAGCCTTATTGTCGCCGTTCGAAATGTAGGCGTCGAATCGCTTCAGAGCCTCGTCGACAGTAGCCTGGTGACCGACGATACCAGCAGACAGGATGAGACTAGCACGAAGCTGACCGACAAGGTAGCTCTCGCCATCCTTGAACTCCCAGCCAACCTTTTCAACAGCTGGTGTGATGAGCTTGAGATGGTATTTCCTCAGGCCCTCGCTGATGTCTTGGCTACCAGAGAAAACGCTACGTACGTTGCCAATGTTGGTGAGAATTTGGGACCAAACCAGGTAGTCAGACTCATCCTGGAAGCGCTCAGCCAGAGCGAGGAGGCCAGGGGTTGAACCATATCCAGCGACAGCATTTGCGTAGGCATCACCAACAAGACCAATCTTGTCCTCGACTGTGAGCTGGTCACAAGACTCACCGAGCTTCTTCAGGCGGTCCGGAGGGTAGTTGGTCCTGTAGAAGCCAGTGAGGTTCTTGTTGAGCTGGTAAAAGCCTTCGCTGACGTCTCGGACAGTGTCTTCCTTTTGTGTCAAAGCGGTAGTCTTGTGAAGAGATGCAGCAGAAGCCGAGTCGCCGGTGTGGAGACCTAATGGAATCCACCAGGTAGTTTCGTCCTCTTCAGGCTTCACGTTACCCGCAAGCAGGAAACGTTGCTGGCGAAGTCCAATTTGGCCAGGCTCCTCTGCCACTGTGACAACCGGGAAACCAATCTTACGAACCCAGAGATCCATGAAGCTATTGACATCCTGGCCAGAGGCTTTGCTCAAGGCGGACCACAAATCGTTGGTTGTGGCGTTGGAGTACTGGTTAGCCTTGAGGTAGTCGGCAACACCTTGTAGGAAGACTTTCTCGCCCAAGTGGGCGCTCAGCATGCGGATGACGGAAGATCCCTTTAGGTAGGAAATGTGATCGAAGATCTGGTCAACTTCGAGACCATCGTATACAGGTACTTCGATGGGATGAGAAGTCCGGAGGGCGTCGAGAGCGAAGGCTTGTTGCACGGAATCAGTCTAAGACAAGTTAGCGGGCTATTAGAATAGATACCTCGCGACTTGTGACGTACGACAAACTGTCCCCATACGTTCCATTCTACACTCCAGTTAGCAGTAGCTTTTTTAGGGTCTGAGTGTGTACATACCAGGATACAGATGGTCAATAGCAAGCCATCCCACCCATGTGGCGAAACCCTCGTTAAGCCAAAGCTCATTCCACCAGTCCATGGTGACAAGGTTGCCGAACCACTGATGAGCGAGCTCGTGAGCTACAACGTATGCGACCCTGTTTCGGTAGCTGTCTGCGGATGTCGCGGGGTCGAAAAGCAAGGCAGTAGTACTAGATCAGTCAGTAGCAATTCCAGTAATTACTTTACAATACTCTTACCGGTAGGTAATGAGACCCCAGTTCTCCATGGCACCGTGTGACTAGAAGCAACGGTCAGCGTGTTACACTGAGAAAGGGGAGATTATACGTATAATTGGCTAAGAGATTAGTCCAAAGATACGTACAACTGTCAGCGCTACTTACGAATTCATGGACGGCCAACAAATCAACCTTGGGGAGGGGGTAGTCAATCTGGAAGACCTCGGAGAAATAATCGACAATCTTGTGGCAGTTGTCCAGCGCAAAGCGACCTTGCTCCTTCAGACCGCGAGTGGTGTAGACTCTGACTGGGATGTTCTTGCCGTTGTACTTGCGCTCTGTGAAAGCCTCGACGTATTCAAAGTCGCCGATAGCCCATGCCAAAAGGTAAGTCGACATGATGGGTGATCGCTCGAATACGACAGTGTGGAAGCCGTCTCGCTTGCTAGGCTTGATCTCCTTTTCGGGCATGTTGCTGAGCGCAACTTGGTCCTTTGGCACCTCAAGCTCGACATCGAAAGTGGCCTTTAGGTTTGGCTCGTCGAAGCAGGGGAAAGCGCGGCGGGCATCACAGGCTTCGAATTGGGTGCTGAACATGTAGTGGAACTCGTCGTCTTTGGCCACGGATGCGGGAACGTCGGCCTTGGGCTTGTACTTTGAGCGATAGAAACCGGCCATGATGTTGTTGACTGAGCCGTCGAATTTGATCTCCAGCTGTGCATCGCCAGTGTACTTGATTGTTTCGCCAAAGTCCAGTGTGACCTGCTGCCTCTTCTCATCGTATGTAATGTTCTTTGCAGATTGTGTCTTGTCGCCAGTCCTGAGCTCAGCGCTCTGGAGCTTGAGCTGATGCGCGTTCAGGACCAGGCTGCTGAAGCCATCGTCCTTTGTGATCTTGGTGGTGATGTTTACGGTACCCTTGTAGCCAAAGCTACCACCGAATTCGATGTCGTGGAGAGAGAGGACATAGTGGGAAGGCTTCGCCCTGCAAGACGGCAGTCAGTTTACACTCCTTTAAGACTTGCTATGTTATACTGATCAGGGATCACTAACCATGCAGGGAGGACGTCACGATCGGAAGCCATGTTTACGAAGCTACTAGTAACCTCGCTTTGACAGAACCTCTTCTGAAGTCGGAATGAGTTTGTTTGAGCTGCCGAGAACCTCGGGCGGGGTCGCAATTGCGTACGCGGGGTATGACGGAGCTCTCGAGCTGTCGAAGAAAAGCTTCTAGAGCTCTCAGCAGCTGAGAGGGGAAAAGTCGAACTGGAGGGGGAGCTACAAAGCAGAGTTGTAAACAGTAGGCGCGATGCAGGCTTCGAAGTTGCCTGTGTACGAGTCAAGTGTCGAGAGCAGAGTCTCGCAGAAGCAGATAGCGCAGCCAGATTGACGGACGAATAGACGAGAAAGGCCAGATACCAACAGTAAAATCTCAATCGCTATGAGGCGATGCTTGAAAGCTGAGAGGGGAAGGTGGGCGTGCCGCACGCCAACTGCCCCACCTATGTAGCATCCCTGCCCCTTCCCTTTAGCGCGGGGTCTTTCAGATGCACCTAGTATACATGCAGAAAGACAATCGACGGATGCTGGGTCTGAGGTTATGGATGTACCCATGTTTCGAGCATGTGAGGTTGTGGACTACTGTACTTGTACGAGTGTCCTGTTCGTCACAAAACACATGACTAGCGCCTCGTCTCGAGTATAGCAAGAGTCGATAAAACAGCTGAGAAGGAGCCTATATTGTGGTAATCCGATTGGCGCCGTATAAATGCTCAGTTCACGCCCAATTATGCAGTGATCTCATATCCTTCCAATTCGTCTTGTATTAAACGCCATGCAGCCCTCGGTATTGCCAAAGATAACCCTCCCTCTCTTATCATGGCCATGGCCGCCTCAAATCCGAATGAGTACATCCAAACACTGTATGCGCCATTCCTTTTTCCCTAGCAGGCCCTTGACCAGTTCATAACTCTGCCCCTCGCTCGCCTGTCCCATGCCCATCTTGTCCCTTACACCCTCGAATGCATTCTTCACTACTGCCTGTGCCGTATGGTTTGCAGCCTGTACCAAGACACTGGCTGTCTCGGTGACGGTGCCATTGAGCGCCAGCTCTGCACTGTCCGAAAGCGGCGCGTCGAACCATGGTGTGTGAAAATCGAAGAGCGCAACGACGAGAATGAAGAGAAGGAGCGAACAATAAACGCATGGCCGGTTTAGGAAGTATGTGGCTGAGATGAAGAGCACGAGGTAGACGGGGGAGGCCTGCGTCCGTAATCTGTCGTCTTGATTAGTATGCGCCTGCTTGTACGACGATGCGAAAGGCGGGACTTACAAGAAGAAAAGCACGGGTATCCAGCTTCGTAGACAAAACATGATTATGTTGATACGACGTGTGTATCTACGTTGCCCTGCGTGCGCACGCTGCTGTTGTGGGTCTCTTGACGCAGCCCAGATTTCAAACGTCGTGTGAGAACGAGACCAGGGCGATTCGCGGCGATAAGGCGGCGTGACGAATAAAAGGCTTTTTGTGTACTGTGGTCTTGGTCGATGGGGTAACAGCAACGGGGTAGGCTGGGAAGTGAAAGCAGCGAGCGAATGGTATTAATAAACAGTATAGGGTGAAAGGTTGAGGGTCCTGTCACGGCGGCATAGTGCGGAGGTGCTGGCGGCGCACTAGGGTCCATCTCGCGGCAAGTGGCGTATGCATGTGTACAGACAGGCCATAATTCACGTGCTTTAATCTCATCACCAATTCATCTCCGCCATCAATTGCACAACCTCCACTGACTTTTCCCTAGTGCTAACTTTGATATAATCCAACCAGGAATCATTTGCGGCCTCTGCAATGGTCGAAACCTTACACGCTCCCCACATGCTGGTTCAGAAGCGCGACATAGACATTAGTTCAACACACGCACTTGCTGGAGTTTGAGCCATTGGTTCAGAACTATCATCCTACATATCCGTTTTCTCGCCATTTTGCGCCCACTGGTGGTATCATGTCCACATGTGTCCTAGACCGCCGAAGCCGTGCGCCCACCCATAATAATAGCCCTACAATACGCCTTCCTAAGCAGATATCCTACTATATCCCGTCCAAATCAGGCCAAAACCGGCCACCAGCGACAGAAAGAGAGCAAGTTACACGCGCGACACCTAGACGGGCAGGTTGAACTTCTTGCCTTGGACAACCCTGGAGCATTTCGGTTAGCTTCAAGTCCCTCGACAAGCAGGACTTTGCGCGACTTACTTGGTGTAGTAAATGTAGAAGAAATCAGAGTATAGAATGGTTTGGATGATGCCAGCAATCACCGCAATAGGGTCGTAGAACTTGGGCACCTCGAAGAAGTAGCGGTAGATCCAGTTGGGGATATATAGCGCCCTGTATGCGCCCAGCGCAAAGAGATAATGCGTCGTGATTGTCTCGGCCTCGCCTGTTCTTTGCAACATGAATAGCTGAGGCAAGATAGCCACAGATTCTAGCCAAATAGAGAAAGCCCAGAGAATCTATATACTTGATTAGCTGCATTCCCTCAGATATCATGTCACTACCCACCTCGGAAAACGTGTATTTGTATGGAAACAATATGGCTAGCACCGCGCTTGCTCCCAGCAGATATTGCACCTTGAACGTGTCCAGGTTCGGGTCGTGGGTTGGCTTATAGTCGTTGAGCATGAGGTAGACAGTGTACGCTGACGTGCTGATGAAGATGATCTTGAAACAAGTATTGTAGAGCGACTTGGGTTCGTAGAAGGTCCATAGCAAATCGACGTAGCGTGTAAGGTAGACGACAAGATAGAGGAATTGCGATTTGAACGAGATACCAGACGCGCTCTGAAATGTGTTAGTCATTATTCACGTGCCAAAGCGACTGCTGGGTCCACATACACTTGACACCTTCATCTTGTGCAATAGGATCAAGATGGATAACAGGTGGGATAAATCCCCTGCTCTCAATTAGCATTCCGATCACGCTCCGAGAGTACACTTGGAGTCGCAACAAAATGTGCGCCCCGGTTTTGCGTACCTAACAGTCGAAAGAGATTCATCTTTGCGGAGATTAGGTCGCTGCGAGCTGCGGTCTGGACGGCAGATGTTTGGCGACGGTGGATGGTTGAGTTTCGTTGTTCGCGGCTTCGCGGGTTCCTGACATAAAAAGACACGTTCCGGTAGCTCCAATGTCTACGTACCTGGAGCTAATCCTTGCATGCCAAGCGCCAAGATCAACCCCAGCCAACTAACGTCATGTCCGATCGCCGTTGCCGCTCCCGCATTTGCCATATACTACTGCTGCCGTTCCTGTTCGCAGCTGTCTGGATGCATAGTGGTCGATTACACTTCGTTAGATGTACTCGTACCCTATGCATATAGCAAACGGTCAATATCGCTGCATGACGCGTCATGACCGCGTTTGAAACTCAGCTTCCGAAACATTCAAGAACTTTTGAGAGATTGGCCGCGTCATTTCCATCTTAAACAAGCGTCTATGAAAAGCGACTTGTGCAGATAATCCATAGTCGACCATGGCCTACCTATTGGGCTGGAAAGATATCTTGAGACCAATCCGTGACGGATACCGCCATCTGTTCCCCACACCCGATACAGGACCAACGCCGGAAGAGAGACGCAAGCAGCGGGAACTGGACCGACTGAAGGGCTTCGCTTATTTTGACACTTTTGATCAAGTAGAAAATTGGACAGAAGCCGATTGCGACCCTCTCCAAAGAGCGAACACGCCTCTGTTACAGCGAAAAGACCGTGATCCCAATTACTATGTCGGCACCGCTAGAACTCTGTTGATTCATGATTACTCTGGCAACTATCACGACTATGAAAGCGTACACGCAGTCGGTGTAGAGAAAGAGTTTTACTCCTGTGAATATCTTCAGTTTGTCGATACATTCATCTATTTCTCGCACAAGCTAGCATGCGTTCCACCGCCAACATGGACGAATACACTCCACCGTAATGGCGTCGAAGCGCTAGGAACAATGTTGATCGAACCACAAACTGAAGGTTCTGAACGCTTGTTGGAGCACACGGTTGATGAGGGAACATTGAGTTTCCCTGTGGCGAACAAGCTAGCATATATGGCCACCCACTTCGGCTTCGACGGCTGGTTGATAAACATCGAAAAGCCATTTTCGAGTGGCACTTGGAAGGCCGAGATACTTGAAGCATTCCTACAGCAATTAAAGGCAGAACTGGGAGAATCAAAGAAGTTGATATGGTACGTTTTCTCTATATTCGGACCTAACGACTCGTAACACTACATTTAGGTACGACGCTCTTACTACTTCGAACAAAATAGCTTATCAGAACACACTAAACTCGTCCAACTTTCAGTTTGCCGCAGCTTGTGGAAATATACTCACAAACTACTGCTGGAAAGAAGCCGATGCGGAGAAGTCGCTACAGCTTGCCCTGGGCAAGGAGCTCCTGTCCCAGAGCATCTTCTTCGGTATCGATGTATGGGCACAGAACAAATCTAGCTTTACCCATCCACGTGTTACCTACCCCGAATACGGTGGCGGTGGCACCAACACCGGAGTCGCCGTAGATGAGCTTTCCAGGTTAGGACTCTCGGCAGGTATATTTGCGCCCGCATGGTCATATGAGCACTTCCCAGACAACGAACGCGCTGTTGAACGTGCAGTGTGGGAGGGCACTCCAATCACGAAAGATGTGGAATGCACTTGCGGGGATTGTGAATTGCGGCATCGACCGAATAAAGATTTTGCCATCATCAGAACCGCAACGGAGTGGCCTGCTGGTTCGGAATACTTTTTCTATACCGACTTCAATCGAGCTTTTGGGATACATGGAGATGAAGAAAAGGATATATTTGATGCCCACAGTAGACATGCGCAGTTGGGCAGTCAGTCCATTCTCCCCCGCCCTATCACACGGCATTTTGATAATGAAGCTATTGGGCTTTCTTATCGTCTCTCATCAAATGCAATCACTGCATGCCTAGCGATCGAGGCTACTCAGAAGCACCTTGCCGATGACGGAAATGGAGAGCTCTCGCTTCCTCTCTATACTCTTGATATGCCAACAGACGCGTTCCTCCAAGTCGAGACATATACCCGAAGCCTCTTGCCGGAGATGAGCAGTGTCCATGTCAGTCTATACCTAAAGACTTCCAAAACTGTCTGCCTCCTGCCAGTCGCCAAGGCGGCGTCTCTCCAATGGATGACCAACAGTCTGAATTACCAGGATCCCGAAGAGCGCATCGAAGAGCTTGGGGTTTGCGTAAGAGGGTTACCAGTTGCCGAGGTAGGGTATATAACGCAATTGTTGGAGATTGCAGAGCTTCGCATCTCACCCACGAGTCCAGAGCAACCACTGCAGTCCTACAGTATTGTCCAAGTAAAAGTTGAGTGTCGCGGCGAAGGGGAGACCAGACACACCAGGCTATGCTGGAACTATCAGACTTGTCATTAAGCAAATCAAACAAACTTTGGACGCTGATTTGATTTGTTTGTACAAAACTTAAGATTGTATTTGAGTTGTTTAGTTTGATAGTGTTTTAGGAGGCCGTTTGTTTGAAAGTTTGATAGATTTGATACTGTTTAGGTGCTGATCTAATCGTATATCGTATATATTACTAAGCTTCGCTGTCCCACTTGCATATTTCGTATATTGCAGCTACCTCAGCGTCAGTTACATCGCCTGAGTTGTAATCAGATGGAGGCTTAAAGCCAGCGTCGCGCCAGCTTCGTATACACTGTATTGCTGCAAGCAGTTGTGACCCAATTTTGCGTCGCCTTGGCTCTAATAAATCACCGAGCTCGCTGAACAGCCGCTCGCACTCACAACTTGAGGCTGGTATTGTTAATATATCGATCGCCATACGCGCTAGGTTAGGATACTTTGGGCGTAGGCTTATCCAATAGCTAACAGGATTACTACCTTGTTCGAACTGCTCCTGCGTCCAGCGGAGTTCAAACCGTCGCCAACGCTCCAGCTCATCCATCTCTGTCACCTCAACAATGCCATAAGGCTCCGCATTAACGAGCGCGTTGATGGCGTCGTTGATACCGCTTGAGAGCCGCACTGGTGGGCGACTTTGGCGCTGTATTTGCGGCTTATAGAACGCCCAAAGTTGTTTCAACCCAGCGTTGTTTGCCTCAAGCCAGCTCGGTTTGTCGCGCCAGCTGTTCTCACAGTAGTTCTTGTAGTATGGGTGGAGGCAGGTAGCGGCAAAGTATGCGGGTGATTCGTCGAGCTTAGTGTAATACGCGTTAAGCTTTGCCCAAGCTGCGCGTAGGTTGATAGGAAGGTGATCTTCTGGCGCGCTATTGGCATTATAGTCGACGCTTTCGTGGTTTTTAAGTAGCTGCTCGTACACGGCAAGTACAGCTTCGAAGACAGGTATAACCTCGTATATCGCGCCGAAACGGCCAGCTTTACCGCGAGCTTCAAGCCGTTTTGTCGCCTCCTTTAGCGGCTCCAACACTGATATATACTGGGTTATTACCGCCCAATCGTCAGCCGTAAGCCCATTAGATCTCATCCAAGCTGGTACTTTAGTGAGCTTATTGTTACGGCTACGCGCGTACGCGTCGGCGCCCATCGTCCTTTCGATGTGGCTTTGGGCGTACTCATCAACGGCGTTATGGAGTTTTGCGGCGCGTACAAAGGTGTCGTGAAAGCTGTTCCAGCGCGTGACGACTGGCTTTACCGGCTCGAGTATTTCCTGCTTTTGGTCGGGAGCCTTAGCGTTAACACGGCGCTGGCAATCGGCAAAAAGATCGTGTTGTTGCGGTGTTTGGATGTAGTTGATGATATCGATTAGTACACCAAGCGGACCTTGCTGCCGCCATTCTTGTAGGTAGGCTGCCTCTGTTTTGTGCTCGTCCTGATCATTATCGTACGCGTCCTTATCAAAGCCGAAGATAATCATCTGTCCGACTAAGTTAAGTGTGTGAGGGCCGCAGCGGAGGCGGTGATGGCTTGCTGTAAATTCAAAGCGTTGGGCGAGTTTGGTGACGGCGGTGTCGTTAGCGTACGCGTTGTCGAGCACAAAGTACCCAAGCTGGCTACGTGTTATACCGAAGACATCGATTATATTGCCAACAACTTCAGCTATCCTCTCGCCCGTGTGGGCGCCCGTAAGCTGAGGCAGCGCGATAGGTAGGTCCCTGATAGTGCCGTCGGCGTCAGCAAAATGAGCAACAACTCCAAAGAAGCCGCGCTTGCCGCCTTTTGTCGTCCAGCCATCGAAGCTTATATGGATTTTACTAATAGCCGACGAGAGCATCTGAACAACCTGCGGCTCCATATAGCGATACAGCCTCATCACGAAGCTAGCTACACTGTTGTGACTTACCCACAGCGCGTCAGCTGCCTCCGGGTTGGCAAACTCTATCATCTGCCTAAACGCAGGCGTTTCGAACTCGCGGAGAGGGTGGTTATTGTCGACAAGCCACGTAACAGCGGCGTATCGAAAGCGCTGTACGTCGAAGTTTCCGAGCTCGTTAGCGACGCCTTGAGGTACATCGACACCGCCCTCGGTCATCATCTTAAGCGTCGTTTGGCCTCGCGGTAGTGTAATCGAATCCAGTTTGCCCTTGCGATCGTAGCCGTGGCCAAGTAGCTTCTGCGCGAGGTGGTTGATAGCGTTACTGGTCGACTTTGTAACCTCTGGATAGGCGCAAAAGATCTTACGATGATGGCAGTATTTGCAAACAAAGAACGTACGATGAGGCTCACGGAGAGAGGCAACGCGGTAACCGTACTGATATACCCAACTTTTGTTGCGCTTCAACGTACGCAGCGGCTTCGTAAAACGCGGTAAACGCTTCCAATCAATGCCGTCAAAGTTGTCCGTAAACTCGTCATCAAAGCCAGTATCATCCCCGCCTTCGATAGCCTCACTTGTAGCCTCCGTAGCAGCCCTACTACCCTCGGCCGGCGGTTGTATAGTAGCTTCTGGTATAGCGTCGCGCAACTGCGACTCGAACGGCGCGTCTTCGGTGGCCTGGCTTGCTGCAGCAGCTAGGGCTTTACGTGGCGAGGTGCGGATAGACAGCTCAGGCTGCGAATCGTCCATCAGGATAGGCTGCGATGCACTGCCTTTAGCTGTTTTGGCGCGCTTGTGGGGGCCGTGGGGGCCGGGGGTGCCCTCGGCGGCGCGTTTTAGGTTACGAAGCGGCATTTTCGGCGTGTTGGGCAACGAGAAACACTAAAACGTGCTGTAGAGACGGTAGTGTAGCTGCAAAAGATGGCTAACAGCGATATAGAAGATGGGAGATGGGATATAAGATAGCGGTCATCGACGGCTAGCGACGCTCGTGTAGTTATATGATGACTAAGCTAGATGCAACACAAGAAAACTATCGCGAAATTGCTACCTCCGCTATCTCAAAAACATCATTAAAGTCGATCTTAAAGCACCTTAGGACATCATCTATAGAACAGCTCGCTATGTAATATTAGTCAAACAGTCAAACAAACTAAACAAATTTCGATCGTACGTTTGATTTGTTTGTATATTTCTATAGGCAGCGTTTGGTTTGTTTAATTTGCTTATAGTCAAGCAAATCAAACAAACTATTCAAACGCGTTTGCTTAATGACAAGTCTGGGAACTATGAAACTGTTGAGAAGGCCGAAGGGAGAGCAACTGGAGGCATCCCTCGTAGCGAGATCACAGGCCCATTTTCGTATTATTCGGTTCGTGTAGATGGGATCGAGTTGGGCAAAGTATATGGGATGGAGTGTATCTTGAGCAAGCGCCTCGTTACTCGTCTCACCGGACGAGAAGTACAGGTAGATATCCGAGGTATTTCTTTCGAAGGCCGTGTTCTCGCAGAGCAAAGTACCAAACTTTGTCTATAACTCATTCTGGGATCTTTCCTTCAATCACCCCTAGTACAAATCGAGGTAATCGACATCACCAAGATCCTCCACAAAATGATATCATCGTCCTCCCTTCCAAAGCAACCATTCGTGCATCCAAAGAGCACAGAAAAGAATCAAAATGAGAAGGTTCTGTGTCTCAGTCGAATAGCGTCGTAGCCAGCGGCGCGCCCTTCGTTTATATTGTTTCACACACAGAGATGTCAACAAGCAAGTCAAGCTGGCTTGATTCTTATCGATTGCAGATCACAGACAATATAGAGGCTCGTGCACAGTGGCACGTCCCAGAGAATGGTCTGTGATCTGCAATCGATAAGAATCAAGCCAGCTTGACTTGCTTGTTGACATCTCTGTTCACACAGAAGCATAGAAAACGTATTATAGCAAGTTCGATGCTACCTCTGATTACAATGTATTGAATCATTAGTACTGTGCTGTCCTGACTGCAGAGGAAGCTATAGAACCCGTTTACGATGCTGAGGAAAAAGACAATGGCGATCATGCCGAAGATGTAGAAGAGGACGAATTGGATGGGCTTGGGGATAAGGGTGCGTGGTCGCAGTGTAGTGGGAACACTGGAGCGGCTGCTTGAGAAGGTGCATATGTGTGGAAACATCATGTTGAGGTGCCGGGGCGCGTTGTTGTTGTTGTTGTGGAGGTTGGTCAGATAGACGGAGTGTTTTGTGGCGAGTTTGTGTAGACGACAAGATTCTCGACGTATGAAAACTTAGAAATTAGAGTTTCATGTCTTGAAATATACTTGGAAGCAAATCTGCAAAGATGGTTCACTTGTATCATTTTTTGGCTTTCTTCCATCGTACCATGGATTCGCGTATATGTACCAACTCAGCAAGACTCGGAGGGTACGGAAGAGGCAGAGTTGCCAACAAGCAAGTCAAGTTGCTCGTCAAACCTGGACGCTAACCGCTAGGAGTAGGAGTTATACCTAACAAAGTAACTACTAGGCTACAATAGGTAATCAAGCAAGTCAAGTTGGACCTTCTGAGCCCCACTTACTTGCTTGTTGGCAACTCTGGGAAGAGGGCCGGTATGACAGCGAACCATGGTACGCATGCTTACGTTGAAGATACTAACCAGCTACCCTTACAGTGACCACTGTATCTTTGCATACCAGCGAGTCTCGCATCGTATGCATACTCAGATTATTGTCAGTTCTATGGTTGGTCCGTATTCGGACTAGTGTGTCAAAGACGTCATCGATTTTCGGTACCTTTCACCCTTGCATCTGCTCACGTCTCAACCCCAACCCAGTACATACCATGAGTATTTTCGCTTATCGATTGGGAAGGGCTTCTTACATGCTGACACGCCAGTACCAAACACGATCATTGCCAGTGTTCTCTACCTTTACGCAAGCTCGTCAACTACATGCATCAATGACCATGATGAATCCATTGAAGCGCAAGGCCGAAAAAGACTCATCACCGTCGAAACCAAAGAAGCCAAAGACTGAGCTTCCAGCATATCATCTCACGCCATCCCGGCAGGACGACTCTGGTGAAGCTGTTTGGCCGGCTCGGAAAGAGCAGATTGATCGAGCGCGGCAAATTATCGGAGAATGGTATGGTGATCTCTTTATCAACACTATATGTAGGGAATGCTTGGTGCTTTACTTATACTGAACAGCGCCGAAGCCCAAAAGCCGACTGTAATACTACCAGACAAAGATGCAGACGGTCTCTCATCTGGTGCCATACTTCAGCATACTCTCATCTCGCTAGGTCTATCGCCTGATTTGATCTCTGTCTACTTCCCACCCAAGGGTTTCAATGTCCACGATAAAAGCACAAAGGAAGCCTTGACTGCCAGAGCACCATCCTACATATTTGTGTTAGACCAAGGAAGCAGGAGAAGCCCTCCTCTCATAGACTCAGCACACACCTGCCTTGTCATAGATCACCACTTTGCAGAAGAGGGTGGTTTCCCAGAGGGTAGCGCCTACGTTACAGCTCATGACTGCCCACCTGTTGCAACAAGTGCACTTTTGACATACAACATCTGTCTTCCACTGCATCCAGATCTCAGCGACAAGATTTCTTGGCTTGCTGCACTGGGTACACATGGTGATTTGGGAACGACTATCAAATGGGAACCGCCATTCCCAGACATGGCCGCAATGTTCAAGCACCATACCAAAAAAGCCATCAACGATGCTGTAACGCTTGTGAACGCGCCGCGAAGATCAGCAGCTTATAACGTCGAGGATGCATGGGCTGCTGTGATGTCCGCAGATGGCCCTAAAGCAATACCCGAGAACAAAAAGCTTCACGAGGCTTCTTCCGAGATCCGGCGCGAGACAGAGCGCTGGACGCATACAGCGCCCAAGTTCTCCGCTGACGCCACTATCGCGGTCTTGATTATATCTTCAGCTGCTCAAATTCATCCCCTTATCGCAACGCGTTGGTCGGGTACACTAAAATCCAACAAACTCGAGATAGTAATGTGCGCAAACGAAGGCTATTTCCCCGACAAAGTCAATTTCTCATGCCGCGTCGCCAAATGCGCGCGGGCGATAGAAAGGGGGGACAAGGTCGATATTATCAAGAAGCTTGAGGGTATCGTCGCAGGAGATACTGAATTGAGGACAAGATTAGGCGAGAATTTCGCAAGAGGTCACAAAGAGGCTAGTGGTGGCATTGTAGGAAAACAAGAATGGGAAGAACTGAAGAAGTTGATGGGTGTCGGAGAGGCGACTAAGAAGAAAGCAGAAACCACTGCAAAGAAAGAGAAGTCAACACAGAAGAATACACTGAACAACTACTTCGGAAAGAGTGAGAAAGCGCAAGCAGCATAGATCGAGATTACACAAAACTCAGCCCCATTACCACGTTGGCAGAGCCACACAGCATACCGACATAATGTCGCTTTGCGGAAGAGGCGCGACGGATACCCGGTCAATGCAAAACGGACGGATGTGGTGGGTTGTGAATAAACAACTTCCAATATACTCCGACGAAAAGGGAAATGAACATCTGAGTCAATGACGCTCCGTCGCATCTCCACCTTCCTCACTGTTAGCCGGCCAAGCGTTCAGCCTCCTTCAAGAGAATTATGTGTGGGCCTTGGTAGCGCAGAAGAAAACGACGGCGTTCTAGCGACTTCGCCAATGTTTCGAATATCGATGGTCTAGGCTAAACGGGCGGTTAGCCGGTTACATCGTCATCGTGACACTGCAAATCGACCCTACGACATTTGAAGTTACATGCAACCTTTCAGCGGGCATGGAAGGTGCAAGAATTTCACGCGAGATGGCCAAGCGTCTGCGATTAGTTTGAAGCGCATCGTCCGTGATGCCCTCGCTACCACAGCCGGCAGTCGTAGTAACTCCGCAATATATTTGCCTCCATATAGCAGGCCATGGCTGCACGCGAAACGAAACCTATGCATGTGACGCCTGAACAATTCAGTGCCGTGCCCAATCAGGTAGATTCTGGGGATACAGCAATCCCTCCGCGAATAACAGGGATGGCTTCAAATTGAGTGCTTATGGACACGCGCTACTAGACAGCCGCCAAGAAAGCTTAAATACCACGACGCAATATATCAGAGTGGGAATCGATGACTGACATGCCAAGTCACACACAAGTGGTGTTTGGAGATGCCGATCGAGGATGGAGCAGCTGGGACTGCGGCCCGGAGCAGCACTACCGCTGTTAGATTGCTGGACGCCAGCAAGATGATGGGGAATAAATACCGCGTCTCTCGTCGTGGAATATTGAGATACAACACTGGCAGTCACTTCAATCCTTCACTTCACTTCTCCATACTCTTGATAACCATTTTTCACCGTCAACATGAAGTACGCTACCATCTTTCTTGCCGCCGCGGCTACCGTTTCCGCCCACTCCACATGGCAGCAACTCTGGGTTGGCAGTGAAGACAAGGCTGGAACTTGCGTGCGAACCGTCAAGGACAACAGCCCCATCACCAGCATAACCTCGTCCGACATGTTCTGTGGTCGTGGACCCGCTTCCACATCCGGCGTCTGTGAAGTTGCTGGTACGTACACCCCAACAAGTCACCCTTCCATATCACTGAATTTCTCACTAACACCCCTCTTCAGCCGGCAGCTCCCTCACCGTCGAAATGCACGCCCAGCCCAACGCACGCTCGTGCTCGCAACCCGCCATCGGCGGCAACCACTACGGCCCCGTCATGGTCTACATGGCCAAGGTCGCAGACGCCAAAACCGCAACCTCAGGCTCCTTCTTCAAGGTTGCTGAGGACGGCTACAAGGGCACGACCGCCACCTGGGGTACCGAGATCCTCAACGCAAACTGCGGCAAGCGCGCCTTCACTGTCCCCAAGAACATTGCTTCGGGTGACTACCTTGTCCGCGCCGAGGTTATTGCTCTGCACGCGGGAGCTGGCCAGTCACAACCGTACGTTAGCTGCTTCCAGGTCAAGGTTACTGGTGGTGGTAGTGCGACGCCTGCTGGAGTTAGCTTCCCGGGTGGTTACAAGACTAGTGATTCGCTTTTCACTCAGTCGATTTACAACTCCGACTTCAAGTACGTCAGCCCTGGACCGGCTGTGTACAGTGGTTAGAGGGATGAAGATTTGGTAGAGGGATAGGAGTGAGGAGGTGGAGGTGGGGATGATGGCGCGAAACTTCTTTGTATATATCTTTGCCTCGTTTGGCATCACGCTAGAATAACAACACCAACACATACACCAACACCACACAATCCCACTAACCTTCCCAACTGACCATCAGTTTTATTCAAACTCACCACTAGCAACCTTGCTATCGTACCACAACACTGCATCCAACAAGACCTGCGCCCCCAACGCACAATGCTCGGGACTCGTATACTCCTCTGGATTATGACTAACACCCCCCTTACTCTGCACAAAAATCATACTCGTCGGGCAAACCCGACTCGTCCACGCACTGTCATGTCCCGCCCTACTCTTCATCTCCAACACGCCTTCCTCACCCACATTGCGCACCGCCGCCGTCCTCACCGCCTCAATACAATTCTCATGGAACTTGGATTCTGGGAGTCCCCACGTACGCTGGACATGGTAGCTCGTCGCATTCGCCTCCTGTGCAACGACTTTGTCGAAAGCCGAGAAAATTGCAGTTGATAGATCATCAACGAGGGCGTCGGTGTCACAGCGGATATCGATAGTGAAAGTGACGCCTGCGGGTATAGTAGCTTGGGATGAAGTATCACTATTTATCACGCCGACGGTGGCTACACCCAAGGCTGTGGAGATCGCAGTGTCGCGTACGGCGACGATGAGTCGCGAGGCTGTTACTAAAGCATCTGCGCGGTTGGCCATGGGCGTGGTACCTGAATGACCCTCTGTGCCTTTGAACACGGATGGCGTACCATTTCATCGCCTGAACGCTGGTTACGATACCGATTTGTTTCCGTGTTT